CACTTGAAGTTCCTCAAGTCAGTTTCTAAGTAATTATTTTCCACTAGTGTGCTTTTCTTTCTTTCTTTCTTTTTTCTTTTCTTTTTCTTGTACTGGGGGTAGAACTCAGGACCTTGTGCTTGTGAGACAGGTGTAGTGCCACTGAGCTAATTCCCCAGCCCACTAGTCTGTTTTCCTTTTTTTTGTCTGTTTTTCTAATTGCCATTAGTCTGCTCAGAATGTTCTTGGCTATTTTTTTCCTTAAATTCTTTTATTGGTACATTTTAGGTATATAATACATTTACATTTATCATTGGGAACTTGTAACTTTACATCATGTATCTTGGTTCTTATTTTCCCTCTTCCCCTGCCTTCCCTTCACCCCCTCCACCCTTCCCTATTTACAAAGACTTTGTTTCCATTTTTTTCCTTTTCTCATATTTTTTCCTTTCCCTTCTTTCCTTTACCCTACTCCTTCCACTTCCCCTACTCCTTTATTCTTGTCTATTTTTGATCTGCACTCTTATAAATTAGTACTAGGATCACTGGAATGTGTCAATAAAAATTAGTAGTCCACTTTTATGGTTAATATCTAAAAGCCACAAGAGAATGAGAAATAGGGGGTCTAATTTTAATAGGATGAGAATGAAATGATATTCTAAAACACAAAGTAGATGCAAGGGCTTCCAAAGCAGCATAGACGGAACAGAGGTAGGTGGGAAAAGACAGACTCGGGATACAAATCTCAGAAAGCACCAGTAGATTTCTCCAAGGTCAGAGGACAGTTTCAAAGGTACAGAAACTCCTCCCCTTTGACACCGATGAGATCAGGGTGCCGGGGTGGGACTGCAGGTGAGGAAGCCTATGTTTACCATGCTGTGCAGGTGACTCTCACATGTGCTGACCTCTGAGAAACCCTGACATGGGTAAAAGCTTCTTTGAATTTTTTTAAGCAATTCTGATAGTAGTTTGTGTATTTGAATCCTTCTAGATGCTAAATCCTACTAAAATGCTAATATAGTGGGCCCTTCATTATCTGCACCTTCCCTATAGTAGATTCAACCAAGGCAGATAGAAAATATTCAGAAAAAAAAGATGGCATCTACTGAGCACAGAACTTTTCTTGTCCTTCATTCCCTGAGCTATACAGTGTGACAACTGTCTACAGGGCATTTGTGTGGTATTAGGCATTTGAAGTCACCTAGAGAATTATAGTGTACTGGAGGCTGTTATCATCATGCATGGGTCCTATGCAAATGTCTGCCTTTTATAAAAGGGACTTGAGCATCCATGGATTTGTATTTGGGGTGTCCTGGAACCAGTTCTCATGGATACTGAGTGATAACTAATACACTGAATTTTAAAAATTAATCTTTAAAACAGTAAATTTTAGTATCTTGTTAAGTAAAAGGTGAGTGGAGCTGGATCAAGTACAGTGTGTCTGGTTCTTTTCAGGGGTTGATTTTCTAAAGGAAAGGAGGCCATAACAGGGCAAATGGGGAAGGGCATGCACGCACGTCCACTGAGGTCCTGAAGCCTGTGCCTTGTTCAGGGAACCTCCACAGCTCATGGTGACTTGTTTCAGTCACTTCTGTCTTTGTATGAACTCTGCAAGTGCCCCTGGATCCATGGGCCAAGAATCTCTACAAGTCTTAGAGATGCAAGGTGGATTTCTTAGGAAAATATTCATGAAAGCTCCTGTGGTAATGTGTTCTCCCCCCACCCCATTGGAATGGTCTTTCTGCCATTAGAATAAAGAGAACAAATGAAATGGCATTTAGAACAATAGTGCCTGGCTAGAACAATTGTGGGTATGTTTGGGACAGGGTCATAAAGTGGTCAAGAATGAGTAGCTCTACTGGGTGTGCTGGCACACACTTGTCATACCAGCACTTGGGAGGCTAAAGCAGGAGAATCACTGTGAGTTCAAGGCCAGCCTGAACTACACAGCAAGACCCTGTCTCAAAACAACAACCACTACACCAACAGAAAGAAGAAATAGCTCTGAAGCTGGACATGGTGGTATATACCTGTAGTCCCCTGTGAGACAGAAGAATTGTGAGTTCAAGCCCAAATCAGAAAACTTAGTGTCCTAGTGAGACCCTATCTCAAAAAAAAAAAAAAAAAAAAGGCTGCAGATGTAGCTCAGTTCAAAGGGATTGAGTTCAGTTCTCAGTATCGGGAGAGAAAAAAAAACAGGTTTGAATACACACCGGCAGATTTGCAGCAATTCGTTCATTTTATAGACTTTGAGTTTTAGAACTCCAAGATGCTTTTGAAATCATCTGATCCTTGTCATTTTACAGATGTGAAAACTGAGGCCCTAGAAGCCTGTGACATGCCAATGTGGAACAGATGTGGCCATGCCAATTCTGAATCTAGGGTTTGCCACCCGCCTCCCGCCGAGCCTGTTTCCTGCAGTAGCAGACGGACAGGTCCTGCAAGCCCCCGAAGTCCTAGGAACACACTGCGATGGGAGTAGTGACTAGCCTGCCCCAGCGCACACATATTTGCTGGAGGTAGGACCACTTATAAAATAACGTGTGTGACCTTGGGCTGGGGATTTAGCTCAGTGGCACCGCGCCTGCCTCGCAAGCACAAGGTCTTGAGTTTGATCCCTGGTACTGGAGGAAAAAAAAAAAAAGAAAGAAAATTATGTGGGCTGTTGCTGTGTCACCCTAATGGACAGGCAGGTGTAGAGGGAACCTCACATTAGTGACCTGCACTGTAGAGCTGCTCTGGTTTTCTCCTTGGGACTTTCAGAAGTGGTCATGGGAAAGCCTGTCACCCTTCCCTTTCCTCTGCCTGTGGGTTGTCTTCTCAGTCAGCGGTTTTCACAGCTTAGCCATGAGGAAGCCCACTGTGGTAACACCATCACGGACCCTTGGTTGAATGAGAAGCAAAAGGCAGTGTACCAAACTATTCATAAAGCCGTATTTCTAAATTTACAGGACTTTGGGCCGGGGATTTAGCTCAGTGGTTTCACTGCCTGCTGCGCAAGCACAAGGACCCGAGTTTGAGCCCCTGGTACCAAAAAAAATTTTTAAAAAAGAGTAAATTTACAGGACTTTCCTCTATTCAAAACTAAGTCCTTCCTCTTTTTTATTTTTTATATTTTTGGTGCTGGGAATGGAAGCCAGAGCCTCACACATGCTAAGCATCACTTAACCCCAGGCCTGTTCAGGGTTTCTGATGGCTTTTCTATTACAGCAGGGTTGTGCTCACTTCAGCAGCACATATTCTATCACAGCAGGGTTGATCCTGAGTTAGGGACTTACCATATGATTTTTTTTTCTTTTTCCTCTTTTTTCAGGGGGGCAGGGACTGGATACTGAACCCAGGGCCTGTGCATGCTAGGCTCTCACTCTACCACTGAGTTATATCCCTAGCCCTCTTCCTCTTTGTCTATTAAGATGCCACATTTAAATATGAAACGATGGAAGTCATTTAATTAAAAGGTAAAATAAAAGGCTGACCATTACCTATATGTTAATATTCTTCCTTAGTATTTCTAATCCATGAAAACCAAATATCTGTCAAATATCTGACAAAGTCTCCAGGCCATTGTTCTTTTGAAAAATGCTTCTTAACCACATTCAGTGAAGACCCATGTGGTTTTCTCTCCAATTAGCTGTGGAATGATGTTCTTGTAACTCATAATGGGATGGAAAAATGAAATGCCCCTTGGATATTGTGATAATGTTCAGACCCACCCAGTTCCTGCATTTATCTTGCCACAGAATGTCAACTTTAGCCAGAGCAGACCAGCCCCAGCCTGTGGAATAAACATTTCCTGCTTATAAGCCACCTCATTTAAAGCATGTTTGTTACTGCCAGCCAAATGGATGAAAATGACATCTACCAATCACTGGGGGCCACAGAGAGATCAGCTAGTGAGGCTGGTTGTGATTAGCTTAGGTTGGGTTGGAGTCCATGCCTAGACCAGCCATCAACTCAGATGAGAGGTAAGTAAAGATGGAAAAGTCCTCACCAGAATCAAATCAAGTGAGGATATCATTTCCTAAAACAGACACGAAGAGGACCATCCAGAAAAACCCAAATGCCCATGCAGACTCGAGGCAGAGCCCTTTGTGGAGATACAATGAACCCAGGGACTGTGACACCGGCCACACATCCCCTCTCCCTCTAGGAGCTCCTCTTTGTCTTTAAAAACAAAGCCCATCTGAGTAATTACAGGACTCCTGCTGGCCTGAGAAGTCTGCTGCTGAAGCCCAGATTGCAGTTGATTCAGGGGAAACTGAGACATAGTATTAGATCTCAAGGCATCCTAAAACAATCTGTGTATACTACCACAGTCCCAACCCAGGGACAGGGTGGTCAGATCCTTGGTATTTTACCTCTGCTTTATTACAAGTAAAAGCTTAGTCCTTCTGCTCTCCACCTCTCCAAAGGTTACTCAATCAGAAGCAAAAGCCTGTTGACTTTTGGTCCATACACTTCCAAATTTGCCTCATTGGCCACTGGGGATTCAACCCTATTGGCTCAATACTCTTTTTCTTTATACAGCAAAACAGTAGCAACACCAGAAATCAACACATTTCCAAGAAGTGGTCATCAATCATGAGAGTAAGGTTGCTTTTCTTATCTCTCTGCTAAAGCACAGAAACACTGCCTGTCTTTGCTCTTTTGTGCTCATTCCTAGTGACAAACAGGATCACTGCATCCACAGTTGATAACCTATGACCGCTGCTGCTTCACTTAGTAGGCCAAATGGGAGCTTATCACCATCAGTTAGGTGACTCACTTCTAACTTCCAACACAAAGGCTTAAAGGTCTAAGGACTCGCCAGGACCTTGACAATCACGCCTGATAAGACCATGCTCAGCCAGAGTTTAAGTGGAAGCTCGCCTCTCACTATCTACACCCCAATCCTAATAGCTGTAAATAATGTCAACACCATGTGAGCACCCCTGCTCTTGTTAACCCCTCTCTTTTTTAAAATCGTGGAGCACTTGGCCTTTCTTCAGCTGAAATTTACAGTTGGGCTCAATCACCCATCACTGCTATGAGAGGGAGCCTCTCTGCCTGCACTAGACTTTTTGTTCCCATCATTGCAAACCCAGAAAATCCTGAAAGAATCACCATTCTCCAGGAGGCAGACGTATCAAGCCATTTGTGCTTTCTTGGCCCCACAATCCAGCACTGGTTACCTTCCACGTTACTCTGATTCCACTTGGTAAAAGAAGGATATAAGGACCAACTTCATGTGTAAGCTGGACGCTTATCACTTCAGAGGAGTAATGGTGAGAGGGAGGTATCTGAGGCCCTGTCAGCTACTCCAGCAGCAGAGCAGGAGCGCTTTGGCGTGTGAATTCATGCCGGTGCTTTCGCTGAGGAAAGACCTTATCACTCAAATCCACATGGTCCTGATCAATGGTAACCAACTGTCAGGTATAGAGTTGTGCAGTAGGGTGACTACAAATGATAAGCATGTACTATTTCAAAAAGCTGTAAGAAAGAATTTTGAATGTTTTCACCATAAAGAAATGATAGGGGGAAAATAAATGATGGGTGTTTGAGGGCATAGATAAGTTTAACCTGATTTAGACATTACACAATGTATACGTGCATGGAAACATCACATAGGACACCCTAAATATGTAAAACTGTTTTCTTCTTTAGTGCTGGGGATTAAACCCAGGGCCTTCACACCAAACTACATCCCTAGCCCCCAGCCCTTTTAAAAATTATTTTTATTTTGAGAGAGGGTCTCACTAAGTCATTAAGTTGTCTAGGCTGGACTCAAATTTGTGATCCTTCTGCCTTGGCCACCCAGAATGCTGGGATTTCGGGCATGTACCATGACACACAGCTCAATTTTTGTATTTTTTGGTTTAAATTTTGAAAATATATATATGTAAATATCCTGTTAATCAGGTTTCATCAAGTTCTGGACATCGTGTCACATATTGCCCCACCAAACTGGAAGGACATTACAATGCTGCCTACAACTTTAGAAGTGTGATCTAAACTTGGGAACTTCATGTTCCCATTGAGCCACATGTGATACTGTATCCCTTACAGATCCACATCCTGTATTTTATTCAATCTAAAATACCACCGGTAAGAATAATTTTGGTATCATTAAGAAACACAAAACTGCCAATTAAACAATTGCAATGTTTTCTTAACACTTACAATTTTTATTCAAAAATTTTAAAAGGGAGTTTTCTATGCTAGGGTTTAGCCCACTATAGCTTCTGGGCCAAATCCAACCTGTTCTTATAAATATTTTCCTTTATATTTACACACAAGATTGATGCAAATGAAATAAATGGTTTTTTTAAAACAAATATACAAGAAAAGACATTTGTGATCATTTCTCTAACAAGAAAGATTTGCTTCACCAAAGTCAAAAGTTTGCTGTGCTGATTTGTTTTTGTATCCTTTTCATTTCACTGCCAAATCATAGCGTGACCTGTGTGGAGTTACATCAAATGGGATCAGCTGTACGGGCTGGTTCCTTGGGCTCACCTCTGGGGCTAGAGGCACCTGACAGGTCTGCAGTGGAGGAAAGAGAACTTTTCCTCCACCCTCCACAGTTTTTAGGAAAGGAAGACTGAGATGGCAGTCAACTCCTTTCCTACAGGACAGATTAACAAGAGAAACACAGCTCATCACCATGGTTAACACACACAGGAGACACCCAGAGAAAATGAGCAGCAGTCAATCAAGGAGGTGGCTCAGAACTCAGGTTTCAATACCACCCTTCACTCAAAGGAAGAAGGGGGTGGAGAGGCAGGGCAAGGGGAGGTAGCCAAGAAAAGCACAGTCAATATGGGTAAGTACAGACTTAGGTGCCTTCCATACTGGTAAGAGTTCCCACTGATTCAGTCATCCTTCTCCTCCTGGTTCAGAGAGGACAACACACATATGAGTGGAGATTGCTAAATTAAAAGAGGTTACGGGGGGAACCCCAGTACTCTAGGAGGCTAAGGCAGGAGGAGCAAGCTTGAGCCCAGCCTGGTAACTCAGTGATTCAGTGAGACCCTTTCCAAAGAAAAAAATAAACAAAAAGGGCTGGGGATGTAGCTTAGTACAAAGTTCCTGGGTTCAATCCCCAGTACCACCAAGAAAAAAAAAATCAAAATTGAGCAGCATGGTTTGGGGAGCTTACCATGGGGTTGGGAGGCCCGATCTCGGACACAGCTGAGTGTCTGACGGGCTGCAGATTTGCCCGCCCTGTGTGACTCCACCTTCGAACAAGTTCATCTCTGCTGCCTCTCTATACAATGGTCTCTTTCCTCGGCTACCCAGACACCAAGACGGATTAACATTTGCCAGCACCGATCGCAACTCCTGACCAAGTGTCTCGTTACCCACCTCCTTGTGGATTAGAACTATCAACCCAGGGGCCACCTTGTCCAACCTCAGAGCACATTTTCAAGATGGCTTCAACCTGTGTTTCCCCATTTGCAGTCCTACTTAGCCTCCAATAAACGTAATTCTCTTTGTTCTCCACTAGGTTGATTTTATTCTTGATTAACAGATGTGAATGTTCTTACAAGAGCTTTTCAGAGCTTCTCCTCTATATGTTGTTTCTCAAAGGAATCAGCTCAAAATAACCTGTGCCCGAAAAAGGTGTAATGCGGGGTGGCATTTTCTGCTCTTCTGCAGTCCCAAACGTGACTTCATTTAGGTCTGTCAGTCGGTGCTGGCTGCCACTTCCGATCCCCACCCAGCCTCCTGTCCTTTAGCTGCGGATGAGCGTCCTCACAGGCTGGCAGATGGGTTCCAAAAGAGCAAAGCCTGTGCTGTGGAGTCTCTGCAGCCATCACACCTGCTGGTGGCCCAACGGTGACAGCATGTCTGGCTGTCACGCCCAGCATTAATGCAGGGGGTGCACAACAGCAGATCCACGCAGAGGGGATTCGCATAGGGATGCTGTGTTGCAACCTATCCAAAGGAACACCAGCAGGGGACCTGCCATCCCTTTCCTCTTTGGGTGTGGTAACCGGGACATCTCAGCAGGAGAGCTTAGATATTCACTGTCTCTCACTACACAGCATAACAACGCATTTGGTGGAACAGCGAATGTAACTGTCACCTAATTTTTGGTACCTTCACTTTGTGTGTGTTTCTTTCATATTAAAAGAAATATCCACCCACATCATTTTGGTACTTTGAATTTCCAGAATAAAGGCATAGGCTGGTCTCTTGTCCCAGTTACTTGGGAGTCTGAGGTCGGAGGCTTGAGACCAGCCGAGGCAAAAGAGTGAAACTCTGTCTCTCAAAACAACAAAAAAAAGGTACACAGCCCACCCTGCCATTTTTCCATTTCTGCAGAAGTTCTTCCTTTAGCTTGCTTCCTATTAGAGAGGACTCTGGTTACCTAAGACACACACATGGGTTTCTCCTTCAGTGGGTTCTCCAACGCTGGGATCTCTAGGATAGGCCACGTTTTGCTGAGAAGATGGAAGGGGAGGGACTGGTATTGAGGCCACTCCCCAGGAAAGCCAAATCCAGGACATGGGTGGAGTCGCCACTTTAGCAGTTCCTGCCACAGGTCGAGTCTGACATCATAAGTGAACTTCCGATAAACCACCACTGTGCCACTCTGCCGGTTATTATTCAGTCAGTGGAACCACTCGACTCGCAGTCACACCAGAATCCTGGGGAGGTCTGGAGACTCCGAGGTCCCCCATTACCATCAAGCAGAGCCGCTGTTTCATCTCCAAAACGCACCTCAACTGCCTCCATCTTCCTCCATCACCCTAGGATAAACCTCCACCCTCTCCCCAAGCTACGCCACAGAAAATCATCCAAGTGACTCTCTAAAGACAGAATAAACCTTACAGGTCCCCTCCTTAAAATCCTGTAGTTGCTTCCCCATACTTTTGTGTTCCTTGCTTGTTTTCCAGTACTGGGGACTGAAGGACTGGAGCACTGAGCTACAACTCCAGGGCATTTTATTCCAAGTCTGGGTCTTGCTACATTGCTCAAGCCGACCTCAAACTTGCAATCCCCTTGTCTTGGCCTCCTGAGCAGCTGGATTAGGGGTGTGCGCTGCTGTCCTTGGCCCCCAGTAGTTTTAATCAAATCTGGATTCTGTATGGCAGCTTAAAAGCCCTGGCTGAACAGGCTCATGACTGCCAGGCTGTCCAGGCATTCTCAGCAGGAACAACAGCGCCCCCAGGGAGGTGGAAGTTGGTTGTGGAGGGGAAGAGAGGGAAGGAAAAAATTCTTGCTCTTTTTAATGAATTAGAAAAAAGATGTCTAAATAGGGGTTGAGAAATTACCCTGCCTTTATCTCAGGCTCTGCTTCCCCTTTTCTGTGAGCAGTTTCACTGTACAGCGCTGGTCCATGACAGAAATAGTCTATAGTCTCTGCTGCCTAATTTGGTAGCACTTAGCCACATGTGGCCCTGAAACCCGTGAAAGGGCGGCTGATGCAGCAGAGGAAGCGATGCGTCATTTTACAGTCAAGTTTCCACAGCCACTCGAAACTCCCAGCTTCCATATCAGCAAAGCTCCAGACGTACTGAGGGGGTTTTTATTTTTGCGAAGCCAGGGATGAACCCGGGGCCTCACACACACTGGGTGAGGCCTCTCCCACTGAGCCTCATCCTACCCTTTTCTACTTTGAGATGAAGTCTTACTAAAGTGGGCAGCTTGGCCTTGAACTTGTAGTCCTCCTACCTCAGCCTCCCAAGCAGCTGGGATTACAGGCTCAGGACACAGCCCTCCTCTGGATTCCAGGACACCAAGTTCTTTGCCACTGTTACTGTATCTGTTAGGATGCTTTTGTTACAGATGACAAAAATTCAAAGTGGCTTAAAAAGTCCCTAATTATAATGGTTGGACATATGATTTTTGCGGTTTACAGTGAGGCAAAGGTGACAAACATTCAGCAAAAACTGATCTTGGGTCCCAACAAAACTTTCCAGGAGCCGAGCACACTCTGGAGTCTGAAAAGTTGCCCTGTCCTAGTGGTTCTGAATTGGGACAGTTTTGCTGCCAGGGACACTTGGCAGTGTCTAGAGACATCCCGGTCCGCACATCTGGGTGTACTGTAGTGGCACACCCAGCACTGGAAGTGCTGTGGCCTGTAGAGGTACAGTCAGGCCAGCACGGGATGTCCCTGGAGCACAGCTGTGTCCAGCCCAGATGGAACAGGCCTGGGGCTGAGAAGCCCTGTCCCTCACTTGGGGACACAGGACACTGCTGGACACCCCTGCAGCCCACCAGGCTTTGCGAACGGATTCGGTCTTTGAGCGAAGTCAGTGAGAGGACTGGTGTCTGGTGCTCGCCTCTGCCTGCAGCCTGCTCAGCTCTCTAGGCGATGCCCACCCAAGGCAAAGCAATGCAGCAGGGCACAGTGCTCACCCTCGAGGACCCCTCCCAGAAAAAGATGCCTGAGAAGGTGCACAGCCAAGATGCACACTGAAGTTTCAGAACTGGCTTTTACCTTTATCAATCTCCAATTCCTCTATTTTAGAAAACCAGCAGGCCATTTGGGTAAACCAAACTTTTCGTGCTTAGTTAGGAATCTGCTCAGCTGAGATGCGAGAGTCTCAACTGTCACTCACTGCTTTTCTGTGGCACCAGGGGTTGAACCCAGGGCCTTCATAATGAGCTACATTCATAGCCCTTTTTTGACAGGCTGGGTTCAAATTTGAGATCTTCCTGCCCCAGCTTTTCACAGGGCTGACATGACAGATGTGTAACACTACACCCAGCTTCCTTAAAGAGCACCAGACAGTCAGTGGAGATAATTGACATTTTCTAGACAAGATACAAGCAAGAGGACCTTGTATTCTCTGTGAATGCGATTTCTCACCAGGAGAGTTTAATGTTCAGGAAGCCAGCAAAACATAGAGTCACTCTTGCCACAATCAGCAAGCTCAAGATCACTGCCTAGTCAGCTTCTTTTGCAGTGTCTGATGGGACATGTTCTACCGGGAAATTCATGTGAGTCTTCCTGCACTATCTTAAAATACCACACTTCCAGAAATGGACGTGTTGGGAAAGTTTATTTATGTCATAGTCTACCACGTCAGTCACATTAAATCCTGAAAGTTTGTGTCCACAGCGTCTGTGTCTAATGGCATCTGTGATCCAGTACCCTCTGGGAAGAATTTTTCTTCTCTAAACCAAAATGAGACACGGATGAACATGATACCTGGGTAGCTTCAGGAACAGCCCGCTCACTTTGGGGTCTGATCGGGGATGTCAGAGTGCACTGTGTCCAGGGGCTGCCAGTGACAATCCATGAGAGAGTCGTAGAGCTCTTCACTTTGTGCCATGAACTCCTTGTTTAATTCCTCAATATTCAAAGGGAGATTTGGATCTGCAGAAGTCAATAGCGGACATGAGGAAAATAGAGCACAGACTGGAACTAGGGGAAAGCTAGAGCATTTCCAAGCTCTCCTCCACCCCAAAAAACCCAAACATTAGCAGAAATATGGCAGGTATGAAAGGTTAAATTTTTTAAATTCCTTTTTTTTTTTTTTGGTACCCGGGATCGAACTTGGGACCTTGCACTTGAGAGGCAGGCAGCAGAACCACTGAACTAAATCCCCCGCTAAAATTCCTTTTAATATATAAATATAAATTTAATGATTGAATAAGCACTATTATCTGACTCTACCAACATCTGGATGGTGGAGCAGGTGGAGGGAAATGGAAAATGGAGACCAAAGAGGCAGTGTAGAGATGAGCACCACGTAGGGCACAGGGGACGGTTAGGAGACATCCTGAGCTCCTGGCAGGACAGGTTGCCAGATGGTGCGCCAGGACCAGGACTCCAAAAAAGCAATGTCTAGTTACTTAACAGACTGATGTATGCAAATAAACCTTCTATAGCAATGAAGCCCAAAGCACAGGAGGAGCTGGCCTTCGTCTCTGCAGCTCGGGATCCTGTGACAAGAGGGTGGGAGGATGTGATGCAGGCATCAGAACAGGGCTTTCACCCCAAGCTGCCAGGTGTCTAAGGTTCTCAAGGTCACTGACCTGTTAAAAAATATAGTCTGTCTCATTCCTCCTTGAACTGAATGAAACCGAAGCCTCTCTCCTTTGTAATTCCTGCATGCCTGGATGTACAAAGGACCATAATTTGCACCTAATACTCTCATGGGTTCATGCTGGTCATTTGTAGGCTTCTTAGGGACTCAATGCTTGTGTCTGCTACAAAATGCATCTTGAAGCCCCAACTCTCAACGTGATGACATTCAGAGGTGGGGTTTGGGGAGGTGATCGGTGTTAGCTGAGGTCACAAGGGTGGGGCCGTGGTCTGATGGCATCTGTGCCCCTAGATGAAAAGGCACCAGAGAGCTTGCTCCTTTTGAAGATGCACTTGCAAAAGAGGTCAGCTAAGGACTCTGCGAGGGTGCTGCTGTCCACAAGCCAGGAAGAACACTCTTGCCAGAGGCCAGATCAGCTGAAACCTAGATCTCGAACTCGCAGCCTCTAGTAGCTAAGCCGCCCAGGCTGTGCTACTTTGCTACAGGGCTCCCAGCAGAAGGACGTGGTGCCTTCTGTATCAATCACTTCAGAGCCGAGAGCATCCCATTGTCTCTGGTAGCTGTGGTGTCCCGTTCTTGGTCTCTGGGTGTCCCAACGTTTTGAACAATCTTCCTTCTGAGAGCTTCTCACCACAAAATTACACATTTCTAATTCTGACTCTGAACTTATTTTCTTTCTTAAAGTCATGCTCAGTGGGGTGTGGTGGCACATCCCTGTCATCCCAGCATTCTGGGAGGCTGAGGCAGGAGGATCAGAAGTTTGAGCCCAGCCTGGACAACCTGGTGGCTTAGTAGGACTGTGTCTCAAAATTAAAAATAGTGTTAAAAGTGGCTGGGGATATAGCTCAGTGCGAAGGCTCTAGGCTCAATTCCAACTACCACCACCGCCACCAAAATAAAATAAGTCCTGCCCCAAGCTCCTTTGCTTGGAAGGTGTTTGCACGCTCCTTCTGAGGGACTGCATGCCAGGAAGACACGCTCATGTGTGTAACCTGTGGCTGGGAAGAGATGTCAGTGTGGTCGGCTCCAAGCCCCAGAGCACGTGACCCAGGTGACACCAGCCACAGCTGTAACAGAAGTCTGAGAAAGAAACAGAACCCATTTTCCCCAAACCTGTGGGCCTCCTGGACCTGCGCTGTGTGGAGAGTGAAACCCTTCCCTCCCCTCTCTGAGAGTGTGGTGATCCAGTCTGTGAAATAAACTAGCAGTAGGCAGATTAGGAGAAAAGGCATGCAACGTATCACATGCACAGGTGGCGGCGAGTGAAAGAAAAGTGAATACTTGAAAATCCAGTGAACTCTGGAGCGTCTATACACCTTCTCTTCTTCATGAGAGGAAGCAAGGGGGAGTGTAGGCATCCTGAAGGAGAGTTAATAATTACTGCAAAGAGCCGGGCCATGGTGGCACATGCCTGTGATCCCAGCACTTGGGAGGCTGAGGTGGGAGGACTGTAGTGAGTTCGAAGCCAGCCTTAACTGCATAGCAAGACCCACTCTCAAAAACAAAGATACAATTGAAAAATTACTGGGAAAAATGAATGGGCCCTCGGGAGAACAGAGCCTGCCTGGGCATGGTGTCCACCTTCAGCCCCCTCTCTGGTGACACAGCTGATCTCTGGTGGATCAGATTCCAGGTGGGGATGGACAACCTAGCTTCTGCAGGACGACCGTCTCTAGGCAGAGAGCCGAATTTCGGAGAAAGCCTCTCTGTTTTGCTGTGTCCCAAGTGCCGTTGTCTTGAAGTAATCAGCAGCCAAAGGAACCCACAAGGGGAGCAATTTCCCCAAATCCTTAACCAGCTGGCACAGCAGCCACCGGCCCCAGTGAACACGGCGGGCCCCAAGATGTGAGGACAAAGTAGGCATCCCATTGAAAGAGGAAGGGCTGCCAGGGACTGGGGGGAAGGAGGGAACCAGGACTTTCTGTTTCATGGATGCAGTTTCAGTTTTCTAAGAGGAAGGGAGCTCACGAGAGTCATGGTGGCGATGGTCGTACCGCAGAATGAACACCACTGGACTGGACACTTCAAAACGGTGAAGACGGGAACCATTAATGGTCCGTGTGTTTTACCACCATAAAGACCGCAGTGTACACTGTGTTTGGAAGGCCTGGTATAAAGAGTACACGTTGGAATATTTTGTTATCATCTTGCTCAGTTCAAGCTGCCTTAAAAGTGGCACAGCCTGGGTGGCTTATAAACAACAGATGTACTTCTGGTGGCGTTGCGGTCAGAAGCCCAGGACGAGGGTGCCAGTGTGGTCTGGTTCCGGACAGGGCCCCAGCAGCACCAGGTGGACACGGGGTGGAACCAAGCCCCCCTCCTAATCCTGGGAGGACACAAACCCCCGTCTGGAGGCCTCCATCTTCATGGCTTTCCCCATCCCACTGCTTCTAGGAGCCACATTTCCTAAAACTACTGTATCACCTGGGGTTAGGGTTCAATGTATGAATTGGGTGCTCACATTAGCAGTTCTCAACATTTAGTTCATTACAGACATGTCGGGTTAAAAAGTATGGTTTAAATTAATGTCACCTGTCTCTAGTTTTCCTCCTCTCTTGGATACAGGCAACGTGAAAATGACCCAGGTGGATGGGCTGCTGCTCTAGCTGCGTGATTAGCTGACATTTGCATGAGCCTCATGTGCACGGTGCCTTTAGGAGACCTAAGAGCACTTTAGATCTCAAGCTCATGCATCCTTGGAGGTAGACATGAACCTACCTGCTGTGCAGAAGGGGAAACCGACACACTGGAGAATAATTTGTCTGGAATCACAGGGCTGGGAAGTGGGATTTAGCCTTGGCAATCTGGACCCAGAAAGCAGCCTTACTTGCTTTTTTGTGTCCTTCCTTTCCCAGGTTGCATAGCTAAAGGCAAGAAGAGGAGCTCATACTTTAGAACTATGCCCCCCGGCCGAAATAAGCACCTTCGGTTCATACACAAAAAGAATACTAAAACTAGAACTGCCCGACAGCACAAGGTGTCTTTGAAACATCAATTCCAGGTCATTTCAGCACTGAGCTCCTACTGGTGTGCAAACTGTGATGGTCACTAAGCCTGGGAAGCCCACAACCCCCCTTCCAGCACAGGGAGCTCGAAGACTGAAGCTCAGGAGGACGAAGGGACAGGAAGGACAGGGCACAGGAAAAAGGCACCTGCGTTCTCTGCATTTCTTCTCTATGTCTCTTTCCCTTTAGTTCAAGTGAAAGCAAAATATTTTCTTTCCTTCTACAAAGAGGACACTTCTAGAACCAGGCTCATTCCCTGGGCAGACAAACTTTGTCTTTTCAGGACAGATGAAGAACTACAGGAAGCACTGTCACCAGAGGGCCACAGTCAGTTCCCCAGGAAGCAGCAGCCCAGACGGAAATGGGAGCCACCCCTACCACCTCTTTTTTCCCCCTCCTTAAAAATATAAAAGCCAGGTGGAGTGGCACACACTTGTAATTCTAGCAGGAGTATCGAAAGTTTGAGCCCAGGCTGGATGACTTAGCAACTTAGCATGAATCTGCCTTAAAATAATAAATTTAAAAGGGCTGTGATGTAACTCAGTGTGACGATCCTCGGGTCAATCCTAAGTCCTAAATAATAAATAAGGAGCTGAGGCAGGAGGATTACAAGTTCAAGGCCAACCCAGGCAACTCAGCAAGCCTCTGTTTTAAATAAGAGGTAGGATATAGCTCAGTGGTAGAGTGCTGGCTGATCACCTGTAAACCCCGAGGCCCAATCCCCAGTACACTAATCAGTCACTCAATAAATTAAAAAGAAATTAGGCTGGGGCCAGGAATTTAGCTCAGTGGTTCTGCCACCTGCCTCGCAAGAGCAAGGACCGAGTTTGATCCCCAGTATAAAAAAAAAAAAAAAGAAGGAAATTAGGCTGGAAGTGTAGCTCAATAGTAGAGCTCATGTGTACCTTGCATGAGGCCCTGGGTTCAGTCCCAGCACCCAGAGGAAAGAAAGCCAATGAAAGTGTCACTACTCCTGCCTTCCCCGTCCTGTACCGAGACTCGGTGGTTTGTGTATTTGGTGCACGCTCCAGAGGCCCAAACTTGAGGGGCTGTATGTGGCGAGGGCCTTCCTGCTGCCTCCTCCCACAGTGGGGAACAAAAGACTGGAGAGCTAAGGGGATGGGGTGGGAAGGCTGGACTCGTCCTCTTATCAAGCACCCACTCCTGTGTAACTGCAGACTCTGCTCAGGAGGGCCCCGCTATCACGACCTATAGTCACAGACACCTCTTAAATGTCCCAGCTCCTAGCTGGGTGTGGTGGCACAAGCCAATAACCCCAGGATTCCAGGAGGCTGAGGCAGTAAGATGGCAAGTTCAAGCTCAGCCTGGGCAACTTAGTAAAACTCTGTCTCAAAAAATAAAGACCGAGGAGGCAGCTCCATGTAAAGGCTGTGGGTTCAACTTCCATATGAGATTCCACCTCTCAACACTGTTACACTGGGTGCTAAATATCTAACATAAGAACTTTAGGGGACATGTTCAAACCATAGCTAATCTTATGGTCTAAACTTAAGGTGGAAACACACCTTCAAAGCTACATAATATCTCTTTTACTGTTTGAGAATGTCCCCATTTCCCCACCCTTCAGAAAGGCCCTTAGTGGTAGCTCAGCTGACACGGACCCCATCAGAACAGTCTCATAGAAAACAGGACAAATGACAAGAGAATGGCTTCCACAACCTATGCTGGAACGTTCCACAAGGCTCTCCGTTCCTATCGAGTTGCCTGAATGAGTGAGGAGCCTGGGCGAGGGGTTTTGTTTCCAACCACTGGACCACAATGATTTCGGTTACCTTCTAGTGAGTCTTCATCTTGGCCTTCAGCTGGAAAGTTGGTTTTCAGCTTGGCTTCCTACAGAGAAAATCAGTATCTTAAGGAAAAAATCACTTTATTAACATTTACTACCAACAAATACTTTCTTGGAAAAGAAAATCTAGCACTCTAAACACTAAAATCCCTTTAAAGCAGATTTACCTGAGTTCTGATGAGAAGAATCTTTAATATTGCAACTGTGAAATGGGTGAACTGAGTCAAAAGAAAAACTGTCACCAGGGAGGAACAAGTCTGCCAAAGGCCAGTGGGCTCTCTGTAGCTGCTGGGAACTCCCTAGCATCCTAGCACCCAGCCTGGAAGCAGACACAGAGAGCCCTGGGATCAAGACTTCTTCCTGTGGCAGAACTCACCACCTGCAGCTCTGCCCTTCGTGCAGGTGGCAGTCTGCCAAGTCTCCTCCTGGCCCTAAATAGGGCTCTGCTAAGGGTGAGGACAATAAAGTACCCAGGAGATGCACAGCCTGCAGAAGAGCAAAGCAATCAATCTTGCTCTTACCTAACAAGAGGAGTCCATTCCAGAAACACCCCCGACACACATCTTGGTTGGTTTGAACTCAGACTGTGAGCCCTGCCTCTGTTTTCAAGGCACTGCTGTGTGTACACCTGCTGGGAAGCTTCCTTTTTAAGTCTGTGCAGCTATTCCAAGAAACCATCCCATGCAGGAAAGTTGCATTCACTCTCAGCACCAGTGAATTTAATTAACTTCCCTATGCTAATAAGAATGAGATGATATTGAGAGCCAAAGACCCACTACCTCTTCAACCAATCTGAAAGTATGCCTCTCTTTCACTCTTGGAAAATAAACCATGCAGTTACCATAAATGTTATTATACCATCTGTCTCTCTTTTTTTTATTTAGAAACGGCTAAGATCACCAGAATCTGATTAAAGAGGACTTTCTTGTATGTACTACAACATCCAAATAATCTCATACTTCTTCCTTTTTGCAGTGAGCTCCAGCCTATGTGGCCAAAATTGGGGCAGCGGAAACTAACTGGAGACAGCATTCTCTCTGGCTGAGAGCTACCAGGGTAGAGTCTGCTACAGGCTGTCTCTGAAGATGTGTACAAATGGCCTTCCTCTGCTACAGGTCGACCAAGGAAGTTGTGCTGTTGGGCCCTAAAGACCTGAGGATCATTCTAAGGACATCTCCTTCCTCTAAGGCAAGTCACAATGTCAAAGAGTGAAGAAGGAGGCTCTTGGGGACCTAACCCCTTAACTTGGGAAGCCAAGGACATGGTGGCATAGGTAAGGACAGTCATACCACAGTGAGGAACAAAGTTACAGCATCTCTCAGAGGACATGCTTCATTAGAGAAGCCAAAATGAGGACGTGGAGTGAAAGACCCACCACAGAGCCTCATCCTCCACATCCTGCCGATCAGCTTCTCAGTCAAGAACACCCACCAGGATGAGAGGCGGATGGCACAGTATGGTGGCCACAGCCACAGAATGTATTTCTAGTTCTTAAATTAATAAATGCTATCTATGGTCATAATTTGATTAGAGCTGGGATAAAATTCTAGAATGTGCCAACAAAACTGGCTAGAAAAGTTAGAGTGAGAGAAAAATACTAACTTTTTTTCTTTTTTGGTACCAGGGATCGAACTCAGGACCTTGTGCTTGCAAGGCAGGCGCCATGGAAACATTTTTTTAAACTGTAATTTTAGAAGTTGGTAATATACCCATACCACTCTATTTAAAGCTATAAATGGAACCACGAAATAAAAGAGGAAAAAAAGAATAGTAAAAGGAAGAACAGTGTGCTTAGACCTCAGGCAATGGTTAAGTGGCAGAACACTGAACATGTGCTAAAAGGGAAAAGCCCACGCTGAATTAAAAGGGAAGAAGAAAAGGCAAGAAATTTAACAAGATTTTATGCAAGAGGCACACCTAAAACAGAGTTTAAAAACTGAAAATGAAAGTGTAGGGAAAAACATATCAAGCGAATGTTAGGTTTTACAAACCAAGGGTCTAGGTGTTGAATTCAACACGAGTGTGCTCACACAGGTTATCAACAGAGAGTATCACAGGCATGTCAGAACAGAAAGGCCCCAGCCTTTTGACTGCAGAGTGCTAATTTCCTCAACATGTGAATATTTATGCAGTCCAGTAAAGGGGACAGAAAATAACAGATACAAGTCAGGAATAAGCCATGGCGCACGACACCAATGAGCATCCTAAAAGATGTTCCCCCTCAACAACAGACCGATGTCTTCCTGTCAGATTCTTTAATCATATACAGAACAAAAGAAACTCGGGCAGGCCTTTTGGTAAGTACATTTTAAGTGTTACACCCTTTAATTTAACCCTTCCACATCCAGAAATGGATTCTCAGCAAAAAAACCAAAAAAGCAAAAGCATTCAGGCAAATGTGCAAAGACAGGTAAAAGGAAGTTTATTAAAGCACTAAAAACATTTCAAATGTCAGATAAAGGATGAGATAAAAACTACGGGATGTCTAAAGAAGCTGGGGTTTCCCCCCTGTGCTGGGGATTGAACCTCATACGAAGCAGCAGGTCTAACAATGGATTACACCCGAGGCCCTAGAGGGGAATTTTTAGGATCTTTAAAACACAGTTCTCCTTAAACCTATAAGCAGAAGCAAGCAATGAACAAGCCCGCACTCATTCCATAGCCCGCACTTAAAGCCCTGCGGCGCCATCCCTATAGAAACAAGCCCAGCCACACAGATGTAGCAAAAGTATGGGGGGACCCTAGAAGACTTCCATCCATCCATTCCAATGGTGCTCTCTTGCCTGTGGGGAGGGGATGAGGGAAAGCGGGGTGTGGCCGAGTTTTTCCCTTATTCCAGGACATCTTCATGTGGCTTAGAAATGTTGGTTTAGTAGTCAAAGCATTAACATGGCTTTCTAAAGTGCATTCATGCTATGGCCAAAACCAGAAGCCACTTCCTGTCCTAAATATTAAAAAATAAAATCTGGGGCCGGGGATTTAGCTCAGTGGTTTCACCGCCTGCTGCGCAAGCACAAGGACCCGAGTTCGATCCCTGATACCGAAATAAATAAATAAATAAAAATGTTTTATGATGACAATCTAAAACTCAAGAGGCTAAGGACGCACTCAGGGGTAGAGCACTTGTCTGGCACAGGCAAGGCCCTCAGTACCATCCAAAATTAGCAGCAAAAATTTCAGCCAGAATCTTTCAGCCTACTATTTTGTTTCTGGAAGAGAGTGAGGATTTAAATTGTTTGCAAGTCAAAATTTCTCAGGTTATCCAAATATATCAAATTGTGTACATTAAATGTGTGCAAAAGCTTTCCAGGTTTTTAAAATGATCATCACCTTAAGTCTCTGGTATTAAACTTTTATAGGGGCTGGGGATTTAGCTCAGTGGTTTCGCCACCTACTTCGCAAGTGCAAGGACCCGAGTTTGATCCCTGGTACCAAAATAAATAAATAAATAAATAAACTTTTATAGGCAGCTAATTGATTAATAGGCAGACAGGTAGGGTCGACCCCTCGAAAGAGTCAGTGCAAAAGATGAGAACACACCAAAACTGTGGCTGGAGAGGCCTCTGAAGGGAAAAGACGCAGACCAGGCCTATATGCCTCCCTGAGGGCTAAACAGTAACTTGAGAGGCCCAGGGATTTAGCTCAGTGGTTCTGCTGCCTGCCTTGCAAGCCCAAGGACCCGAGTTTGAACCCTGATACCAAACAAAACAAAACAAAAAAAACCCAATAATTTGAGATAGTACTGTGATTGGTATCACCTGGTCCTGTGAAGTCCAGATAGACATTGGTCACCCAGGTGGGTGACTAGTCAAACAGGTGGGTGACAAGAGCATTCGGACCACTCCCTTGCCAAAAATGCCTTTGTTCTTTCCATGTACCCTTGCTACATGACTGGCTTCCCTATTGGATCAGTACTAAGAGGCTATACTTGTAATCCTAGAGGTTGGTGACAGTTTGACCCACATTGTACCCACATTGTGACACTGCTGTATAAATCACCCTGACGAAGGGCCTCGATGGCAGCCCACTTCCGGGATCCCTTCTGTATCTCAGGAGCTCTCTCAGTAAATCTTTCCTACTCTTAACCACCACTGTCTTTTGGAATTCATTCTTTGATTTCAGGGGACATGAACTGAGCACATCTGACATCTAGAAGGTTGGGAACTGTATGTCCTCTATCACAAACACAGAGCCAAACAGGCTGTGGGATTTTGAAGGAGTGGACGCATATGGGTAAAGAGAAGAAACAATGTTTGCATTACTGGGCATGCAGTCACAAGATTCATCTCAGCAAGGGTTACCTGGAGAATCACTGAAGTCCCAGCTGAGTGTACGGCCACCTTGTACATAAAAGGCTGAGGTCCATTTCCAGCCACTGCGCAGCTGTAGCTGTACCTGGATGGAGTGTAAGAGCCCCATGGCTGCTCATACCAGATGCCACAGCCGTAACCCTGGTCAGGTTGGAGCTCAGGCTTCTCTCTAAGGGTGGAGCCAAGAAGACAGTAATGACGACCATCGCCAATCAGGGCGTAAGCATTCACAACAATAACCCCCCTTTTTCTGTTTTTTTTTGGGGGAGCGAGGTTGAGATAAGGACTCGCTTTGTTGTCCAGGACTCCCAGCCATCCTGCTTCAGCCTCCCGAGTGCTAGGATGACAGGCTTGCATCCCCACACCTAGCTCAACACCTTCCCTTTATCCAGGAAATTTGAAGTAACAGTGATTTCTGCTTCATCTGCTCAAAAACACTTATGTTCAAAGCTGCCAAAAGGATTGTGTTAATTAGAACCCTAATAGCTTTCATTTCCATTCAAAGTCAGGAAAAAAATCCACTCACCTTTGCCAGTAGTAGTAATAGTTATTTTCTTGAGCTATGGCAAAATCTGCAAAGTTCTGCCACCTGGCCATTTATGCAGAAACTTTCCAAAGAACACTGGAACCCACAGCTTTTATTCCTGAGTCAAAAACTCGAGCTGGTGGACGACCTCTTCCCAACTCCTCAGGCAGCTACCTAGGTGGAGGAATTATGGGTCGTGCCAGGGAGTTAAGGACTCGGCTTCCCTGAAAATTGGGCAAAGGTGTGGGGGGAGTCAGGCATGCATTGCAGCCACCTGGGGGGACTCTGCTCCTCCCCTAAGCGTCAGGTCTGGGTAATCAGCGTGTTCTTGTGCGTGTATGCGCAAACACAATCACCAACTATGAAGAACCCAGATGTCTCCACTACACCCCCTGCCATAATATATAGATTTTAATAACTAAAACTTTATGACAAATATCGCAGTTCGATGTTTCCTTCCCTTTTATCTGCTAACAAGAACTATTGGAACCAACACTTGGTGGTTTTCTTTTTAATCCTCTACAGATTGAAATCTTTATTCCAATCAGCTGCAAAAGAGGTTGAGGAAGCCCCCTCCTACACACACACACACACACACACACACACACACACACACACACACACACACACACACACACACACACCCCTACATCACTACGGGTACAGGATAAAATTTAAAGAAATATTTCCATCATTCAGGCTTTTTTTTTCCTGTTTTTTAGTGGTAGTAGGGATTGAATCTAGGGCCTTGTCACCAACCTACATCCCCAGCCCTTTTCTCATTTTTTACTTTTGGAATTTGCCCAGGTGGTGGTTGAATTTGTGATCCTCTTACCTCAGCCTCCCAGAGTGCTGGGATAACAGGAGCATACCACCATGTCCAGCCTTTGTTGTTCAGTATTTTTTTCTTCAGGAAAAATAAAGTATGCTGAAGCCAGCAGTATTCCAGACTTTAACGCGTTAAAAAAAAAAAAAATGGAGGCTCAGCTATGCGTGGTAGTGCATCCCTTGTAATCCCAATACTGGGGAGCTGAATCAGGAGGATCACAAGTTTGAGCCCAGCCTAGGAAATTTAGGAAGTTGGTGAGACTCTGTCTCAATAAAAAATGGGCTTGGGAACACTGCTCAGTGCAAAAAGACCCTAGGTTCAATCCCCAGCACAGTAAGTAATTAAATATGAATAAAATAGAGGTTCTACTTCAACAGATTTGGAATGCAGCCTCAGATTCTACAATTCTAGCTGGCTCATACCACTTTAAGTAGCAAGGTAACGCAAATCTTCAAAACTTAATTTTTGGTATGAATAAGGGCATTTATGGTTTGGCCATTTCCCTGTAGCTCATTAACTGCTCCACTATTAAAATGCCTAGTGTGTTATATATTACCTGTCATGTGAAGAATAATAACCATGGTGAGTTCAGACCATTCACCTATTCACCATTTATTCACTGAGTTCCTGTACTGAAGGCAGGGCTACTGCCATTGGTGATGGAGTGGAGCTTGGAGTCTTCGGAATTTCCCATCTTCCAGGGAGATGTTGATTAGAAGCTGAAGCAGACTGCCTGGCACCACCCAGTATTGGTTCCTTTTCTTCCTTAATAACAGAACCCTGAGCCAGGCATAGCACTACACACCTGTAATCTCAACCACTCAGGAGGTTGAGGCAGGAGGATTGTGAGTTTAGGACAGGCTGGGCAATTTAATGAGACCCTGTCTCAAAAATAAAAAGAGCTGGGATGCAGCTCAAGGCAAAGGCCCTGGGTTCAATCTCCACAAAAACAAAAACCAAACATTACCTTGATTTTATTTGGAGGTGGCAATAGGCCCAATAAAAAAGATGGTATTTCTGGTCAGATGGCCAGGCCTGGCTAAGCTACAAATGAAGCCCTTAGAAAGAGGTTGGAAAGAGCTGTGTGGACAAAGGGCTTCTGCTCAGATGGAGGCCTTTCATCCCCCACCCTTTCCCGACTGACACCTGGTGCAGGGACTGCAGGTGCAACACCCTGAGCTAAAACAACTGCAGCTGTCCTGGACGAGGAGGCGACCTCAAGTGGGAATGATGCACAAGAACACCAGGACTGCCACTCAGCTTGGCCAAGCTCCAGCCATGCTGCTGAAACTTCTCTTGGGCCCATCTGTGCTTGTGTTTACAAAATCCAGTTGTAGCCGAAGAACCCTGCTGAGTCCTTTAGCCGGAGCCCCTGGCCCTGGGTATCTGACCGTCTCAGATAGCTGATTGGCTTTCTCACCCTCCATGCTCCCCAGTGATGTTCGATCGCCCTGGCTGGACTTCAGCGATCTTCAGCAAGATTCCTGCTGGGTTGGTTTGGCCAGAATCCCCCTCCCCGCCTATGTTTTCTCTTCATAATTTTCCATCCACTGACACCTGCTGCTCCTGGGCTATACGTTCCCAGTTGGCCAGGTTGTTTTGGGAGTCGAGTCTGACCGCTCCACCACACCCGAGCGCCCCATCACTATACCAATGGCGTGGCCCTAGGCCCTCCTTCCTGCTGCACTTTAACGAGCTCTAGCGAGAGACTGTTTTTGTTGTTTGTTTCATATCTTTATTGCCCCCCCCATAAAAGTCACAGTGTTTGAGACTTTGTTCAGACAAGTGACAGCTATGGTTCCAAAGGTCTGGATCAAAGGCTATGCTGGCGGGCATGGGTGTCCCTTCAGCCCTACGCAGCATCTCTGTTGCTTCCACCCTACACCTTGCTGACACTGAAGAGCAATTAGGATTGTGCAGAAAGTCAGTCAGTTCAGAGGAGGCTGGCCTCACCTCACACCCAGGAAAAGGACCAGGTTCTGCGGAACAGACAGAGGCGGTGCTGGCTCAGCACTCTGGATGACGGCCTGTACCTGAGGCAGAGATACTCCCCACGTGGCAGTCCTGGGGGACAGGGAGTGTGGGTCACTGGTCACATTACACCCCTAAACCAACGGGAGGGAGGGCAGAGCTCCCTCTGCAGTGACAGCCAGACTCCCCAGGGGAGAAGGCTGTCAAGCAAAGACACTGGCATGGATCCCAAGGGCTCAGGTAAAGTACCTCAAGCAAAGACCTTCCCTTTCAACGCCCAGCAGCCCTGCTCTAAACAGACCAGGGAGCCCTCCTGGGTTTGTCCACATGTGCTGTCGGGGGTTGATTGTGTCAGGAAGAGGAATTCCCTCCAGTACTCTCTGCTATTTGCAGTCTTTGGGGTGGTGTGGCTCTCCATACTTGCCGAACAAAATCATGTGAGGTCCCCCATGTTTTCAGGCCCTGGTTATTTGGACAATTCTGATGCTTTACCTTACTCCCTAGGCCACTGAAAGTATTTTCATAATTGCTTTGCAATAATTAAGGTAATTAAAAAACTTTAATATCCAAATATAAGTCACTATTCAAACTCCCTACTGTTTATTTCTTTGAATCAATATTCAAATAAAATCTACAAATTCGGAAAACAAAACTACTTCCCACAAACCTGAAAAATGAACCGCCCTCTGACTCTTGGAGCACAGAGCTGCAGAGAGGGGCCTTCAGCAGCAACCTCCGGGAGGCAGGGTATGCCTGCATACCAGAGGACTTGGCCTGGGGTTTCCCAGAAGTGTTTTGAAGGTAACACTGCATTCGTGAGGTACTTGCCCAAGGCCTAGGCCCCCTCCTCCTTCTCACTGAACTTGGTGCTAAAGCTGAGGTTGGGGCAAGGACATCAGGTCTGTGTGGACCCCCGCTCAGGCCAGTGAGATACTTCTAACAATCTGAAAGACTGGACAGGCCTGGGACCCTGACTACTGTAGATGTCCTCCACCAGCCCTAAACTGTCCTACTTCCCGTTTTCTTTTACTTAAGTAATGTTTTGTTTAAGCCACTGGGTTTTTTTCTTTTGTTTTGTTTTGTACTGGGGATCGAACTCAGGTCCTTGCTCTTGCGAGGCAGGTGGTGGAACCACTGAGCTTAAATCCCCAGCCCTTCTTTTGGTTTTTTGAGACAGTGTCTCACTATGTAGCCCAGGCTAGCCTCAGCCTCCCGAGTGCTGGGATTATAGCCATGTGCCACCATACCCAGGCCACTAATGTTTTATTTTTGTTATTTATTTATGTATTTATTTATGTATTTATTTATTTATTGGTACCAGGGATTGAACTCTGGTCCTTTCACTTGTGAGGCAGGCAGCAGAACCACTGAGCTAAATGTCCATCCAATGTTTTATTATATCAAGTTAAACAATTCCTAACTACTATAGCAGCTCAGCATCATTCAATAAAACGTATTGGTTAAGATCCTTTCTTTAGTTTTTTTCCTTACCATTTTAGTATAGGCAGCTAAGTTAGAAAGAAATTAATATGCAATCAGAGAGGGACTAGGCTGTCAAGGAAGTCAGCAAAAAAAAAGAAAGAAAGAAAAGAAAGACACCAGAATTGTGGCTGGAGGCGCATCTGAAGACCAGGCCTCAAGATAAAGATGCGATGGCTGGGACTATGTAGCTCCCTAAGGGGTAAGCAGGAACCTGGAATTATACTGTAATTGGTATCACCTTGCCCAGGAAGTCCAGATGGGCATCAGCCACCCAGGCGAGTGACCAAGGCATCAGACCCATCCCTTCCCAAAACGCTTCTTTCTATGCACCCATGGTTATGTGAACCATTTCCCTACTGGACCAATATTAGCTAAGCTGCTATACTTGTAGTCCTATAGTTTGACCCATGTTGTGACCCTGTTGTATAAACTACCCGACAAAGGGCCTTCGTGGCAACCCACTTCCGGGACCCCTTCAGTCTCTCGGGAGCTATTTCTATTCCCCAATAAATCTTTCTTACTCTTAACCTCCTTTGTCTTTTGGAATTCATTCTTTGATTTCAGGGAACATGAACTTGGCCTATTGGACATCTAGACAGTTGGGAGTTGTATTTTCCCCTGTATCAATTATAAGCCTGATTTTGCAGAAAGAAAATAAGACCCGTGGCTATAACTGGGTGAGTTGAGGCTGTAGTTGGAAAGGGATTTGGAAGCAGAATACTGATAAGGAGGTGGAGGCCAATGTGCCATGTTGAAACCACCTAAGATGGCAAGAGCAGGGGACAGAGGGGCCTTAAAGCTAACAGTGACAAAGGGTTCACACTATTTTGCTCCCAAACCCCTATTATTATTTCACCTGGTTACTCTTATGAAGCAAGGGGAGCAAGTTTCTATCAGGGCAAAGTCTAAGTGTCCAGGGGGAGCAATCTTGCTCCCTCTATCTTTGCTTCCCTCAGCTCTGAAATACAAAGGGGAGCAAAGTCCTCTGGGACTACAACCACATACAGCTTACCAGAATTTAAGAGTTACAACTTTTCACATTAAGAATTGAGGGTCACTGTGCAGGAATATTAGCGCTGTGGTATTTGTAGCAGGGCTGACCTTTCTCCATACTATTCTGCTCCTAACTCAGAATATCCACCTGACCACCACCACCCAAAAGGGAAAGCTGAATGTTTCTTCTCTGGTGAACAAAATCCAGGCATTTAATAAGTATTTGTTGAATGACTAAACGAATCAACGCATGGCTCAAGGACAAAAATCAATCAATAATTTAAAAGCAAAACTAAAAATAAATCCTCACGTGCTCTAGTGTTTATTATTTAACTCTCAACAGTTGGTCGTTTCTTGGCAACTGCAGTTTTCATAATGAGATCAGATGGCTTTTTACATCCTGTGTGTGGAGAGAACAGGAGGTTTTACAGGAAGTATGCTCCATTTCAATCCAGTTGAACAGGTGTATGATTTTGCATTATGTGTTTTTATCCAATGAATACTTACAATCTGAGCAAGTTATGAAATTACTGCCACAGCCACAGATGAAATGCTGCTGCTTTGTTCTCTGTGAAAAAGAATGTTCAAGGCCAAGGAAATGTAAAAGCAGCAGCAGTACTGTTACTCAGTTGTGTGGTCTTGAAAAAGTCACTTTTCTGGACATAGTTCAGCACTTACATAACCTGTAGTTAAGACTAAAATAGGGATTCTCCCTTCGATGAGGCATTACTTGCTTTGAAAACTGAACGCTTTTTTCTAAAAATTTACATCCACAATTTTGCAAATAATTTCTGGGGATTCAGAACCCCTGGAATTTATCCATGAGTCACCCACTTCCCACATTGGCCTAGATGCTAGCTCTTCGGAGCTGTGATTAGTTCCACCAATCTCTAATCTTTTTAAAAGTAAAAATCACTTTGAGTTACATATATGGTGCCTATACAACAGTTTCCATTCCCTAGGTAACAATGACAACGCACCAGAAAATAAAACTGTTTCTCCAAATGCAAACAAACATGAACTAAAATATGCCCTGAATTAAATACATAAGACAACCCAAACACCAAAGAAAAGCACCTAAGCACGGGAGGATTCTATTACAGTTCAAACAGGGCATTTAAGACTTACCATGGATGTATGCACTAACCCCTGCTTATGAAATTGACCTGATACAGGGCATATGATCATAGAACCTCCAAATAAATGATAATGTAATGTAAAGGAATGATAAGTAATGATAAGTAATGATAAGTAATGTAAAGGAAATATCCTAACTCCCAACCTGCTAGATGCCCAAAACGCCAAATTGATGTTCTCTAAAATCAAAGAATGAATTCTAGGTACAATGAAGATTAAGAGTAGGGAATATTTGGCCAGAGATTTAGCTCAGTGGTTCCAGCGCCTGCCTCACAAGTGCAAGGTCCCAAGTTCAATGGCCGGTACCAAAAAAAAAAAAAGAGTAGGGAATGTTTATTGAGGGAAAGACAGCTCTTGCCTGAGAGGGACAGGAGGGGACACCAGGAAGTGGGTTGCCCAGGACCCTGCTTCTCAAGGGACTTTTAGGGAGCAAAGCCACAAAGGTGAGGGGAGTACAAAGTGGGACAAAACTACAGTCAACTAATAAGATCCAATGGAAAATCACAAGGTCGGTATGAGATGGGTCAAAACCATGGCCAACCAATAAGACTACAAGTATAGTCGCTTAGGTAATAATACTGATTAAATGGAGATCAAATGGGGAAGCAAGTCACCCTCAAGCTTGTAAGAAATGAACAAGGATCATCCAGGAAGAAATGGGCTAGGGAGGTTTCGGTTCCCCACCGAGGTGATTGATACCTATTTAGAATATCAATCCCTGCTGTTCATCCCCAGGGAAAGTGAGTGTAATAATTCCTCTTTTGCGAATCCTAGCCTTAGTAAATGTGTCTCAATTGTTTTCTGCATTGACTCCCTCTAGGGCCCCGCCTTAACTGCCTATCAAATATCTAATTAATTTAGCTGTCTACAAGAGACCTGTTACGGTGTCTATGAGAAATATTCGAGCTAATATTACTGCATTGAGTTTTTAAGAAAATTGTGATTTCTAACACATCTCTACATCTCCGACTTTATGAAAACCTCCAACCTAAAAGGCTGTTTGCTTTTTCTTAATTTCCCTATATGGGGTTAGGAGGAGGTCAAACAGGTCTAAAGATGAGACTTCCTTCTAGATTGCTCACGACGGTTGACTGTGTCCTCCCATAAATCAGTCCGCTCCTTACACCCTGAGGTGAAATAAGCCATATCCTAGGCCGATCTGACCCGAGGGAAGCCTCGCGAACCAGGCTGGAAGGAAAGGCTGGCAGCAGAAAGCTCTAGGCCACAGGAAGCGGCCTTCTAGGGTACCGATTTCACTCTCGCACATGTGTGCCTGTGGCTGCAGACCGGACACTGACGACACGAACCCTAAATCCCACTCTTCTCCCTGTAGCTAAACAAAGACTCCTTCTATGGCTTCTTGCACAAAAAGAGAACTTAACTCTTCACCCCTTCTCCGTGGGCCCTCCGCACCTCCAGAAACCCTAGCCCTCCGGGCCGGAAGTTGGTCCAGCCCCTTCCGTGACGTTCCGGAAATGAGGGCCTTGTGCAGAGGAAGTCCCGCCCCACTCCCCCAGCCCAGCCCTGCTTATGTCTTCCTACAATTTGCCTGCTTGCTCCCATTTTTTCTTTCTCGTTGTAATGAGAAACTCCTCTTCTGGTGTCCCTTCTTGTTCTCTGCCTGGAAAGTTTACGGCGCTGAAACCGTCTCCTCGGATCCAGGCAGCCCCGCGCAGTGACGACAATTTCAACGCCGGCGCAGCAAGGTCCCGCCATTCCTTTTGCTTCCGGCTCCGTCACCGCCGGGGCGCCGCAGGATTCCTGGGAGAGGCGAGTGTGCTGCCGCATGGAGCTGCTGGCTGGTAGTTACGAGCAGGTCCTTTTTGGATTCACTGTACACCCGGACCCCGAGGCGAATGGCGGCCACGAGGTGAGACTGGACGAGCGGAGGGATTACCGGGGAGGGCGGCACGGCGTGTTTGGCGTCCACGCGGCCGAGGTAAACATTCCGCCCCTACTTCTCGTTGTCTGCTGTCCATGGGTTACTTGATGAACCATTTTCGGGCCTTGAATAAAAAACAGACCCTTTGAGACACGGAATACACATTTTGCAAAATGCCACTTAATATCTGCCTGTTATAGTTAACAATTGTTGTATGAATCGCCTAAAACATTTATCGTGTCTTTGTGTTGGAAACATTCAGAATTCTCTTTACTAACTAATTTGAAATGTACAGTTGATTGTTGTCAATCACTTACCTCTAACACCATAAAACTTTTCTCTGTCCATTTCCTCAGCTTTCAGTACCCACTGTTTTGCTCTCCCCTTTTGGGTAATCAACTCTTTTGGTTTCCCCCATGGACATTTTCTCTTTGCTCATTTATGAAATGGGAGTAATTGTGTCGCGTCACAGAGGCTCGCTGTGAAAACTACTGTTTATGTGGAATGTAGTAGTTTTACAGTAAAGAAAACACATTCAGTAATGAGGTAGCTTTCTAGGAGCTACAGTACTTCTAGTTGCTTCAGAATAAAATAGTTCTGGTCTAGAAGTCAGGAGATCAGAAACCTAGGTATTGTCTTATGTACCACTTTGACTATTGTGTTGGCAGTCTACTTTTTTATTTTCTCATCTAATAAAGTACTTACAGTGTTCTATAATTTCTCTCCATGTTATATGTCTCCCTTGTACAGCATCCCTTATGTTAAGGTCTCTACAGCAAGATCCATACCTCTGGGGACTTTTTAATCCTCCTTCCCTACCCATGTTAAGTTCCCAGTAAATAATGCATGTATGTCATTTTCTTTACCTAAGAGGGGTTGATACTGATCAAAGCCCGAACATTTTGTAAAATAGCAGGACAGAAATTTGGTGAAGGAGCAGGCTGTTTTTTCCTTAGACCCTGTCTACGCACACTTGACTGCTGTCACCTTGTATCTGTAGTTCATTTTCCTATGCCCAGAAATGCCAGCTTCCTTCATGCCACGGGGACATTTTTGTGACTTTGTTTTTGACATATAATAATTGTACATAGTTCTGGAATACACTATGATATTAATACTTGCATACATTATATGACAGGGTAATTGATTCTCTGGGGCTTATTTTGGTTAATAACGGAAACATCCATATTCAGTTTTTCTTGATAGGGTTTGTCATACTTATCTCTATGTACCATCACATTAATTTATTTTATGTCTCTCCCATTGGTATGGAAGCTCTATTAGAATAGGGATTTTTGTTTACTACTGCCTTAGTTACTTTTCAGTCGTTGCTGAGACAAAAATACCCAACACCCAAAGTTAAAGGGGGAAAGGTTTAGCTCACAGTGTGTAGAGGTTTCAGCCCAGAATCAGCTGGCTCCAAGGCAGGGTGGCATGGCAGAGGGGCATCACAGAGGAGAAACAGTCCCTGGCAGGCAGAAGACAACAAAAGCAAGGAAACAAGGGGCAACCCACAGCTCTTTTCTGTCCCTTACATCTTACCCAGGCTGCTTAGGGCGGGTAGCACTCACCCCCTTAATCCTGGTGCCCTTGATCATGACACCATGAATCAATTCCAGCGTCACACTCTCTACATCCAGCCACCTCTGAAAATCCCAGCTATGGCCGCTTGAGGCTTTGGGGGACATCTAGACATGAGCTGTAACAACTGTTATATATCAGCTGCCTAAAGTAGTACCAAACATGGTAGATAACGTTTTTTGGTTTTTTTGTTTGTTTTTGGCACCGGGGATTGAACTCTGGACCTTGCACTTTCGAGGGAGGCAGGTGGCGGAACCACTGAGCTCAATCTCCAGCCCTTTGTTTTTTTGAGACAGGGTCTTGTGATGTAGTTCAGGGTGGCCTTGAACTCATTATATGTCCCAGATTGGCCTCAAACTTGAAGCAGTCCTCCTACCTCAGCCTCCTGAGCACTGGGATTATAAGTGTGTGCCACTGTGCCCTGCCATTTTTTCAATGAAAAAGTTCAAATAAAAATTTGCACAGTTGAATGAATAAATGAATGAATGACATGGAAATCTCACATACGAGTAAATAGTGCCTAGTCCCTTCTCCATCATTGGGTTCTGGAGTCATGATACCCAGCATTGCTGTCCCACTGAAATCACTCAGTTTTCAGGTTCTTTGCATATCATTGCGTAGTTTATCTTCCGTTTATAGGATCCATCGGTAGTTTTTATGGGTTGTAGAACTATGTTGCTAGACAACTGTGACATAACTGATCATATGTTGTACTCTTCAGAAATGGACTTCAGTGGCCGACTTCACTCACCACACCCACACTGCCTCCTTGTCAGCAGTAGCTGTGAACAGTCGTTTTGTAGTCACAGGGAGCAAAGATGAAACAATTCACATATATGACATGAAAAAGAAGATAGACCACGGGGCTCTAGTACATCACAACGGTAAGGACTGTATCCTGCAAGGTAAGGTGGAGGTGTTATCACTTCAGTGTTTGGCTTCAGTTGGACTTTTTAAGTACATATCTATTATGTAGCATATTTTTTGCCAGGAGATTTAGGCCACTCACAGTCCTGCTGGGAGATAGAAAGTGTCATTTGCCTCACAGCCTGGGCACTGTTACCACCAAAGACCTTAAGTATAGAGGACTAAAGCACACAGAAGGCAGAGGTCCCTGGAGTTGAGGTGGGCACAGAGTAGTAACTCCCACTCACGGTTGGGTTTTCCATACTGATGGTGAAGTTGCCTGGCAGGATTAAGGGGTGGAAAGATTCTAGGTAATTTTTTCCCCCTCAGGACTGAAAATCATATGTTGTTTGCACTTCTAGGGGACAAATGAGGGGCTTATTATGTGTTCAAGAAGAAAAAGGAAAGGGAGAAGTGAGAGTAGTAGGATTAGCTGGCTGTGGCAGCACACGCCTGTAATCCCAGCACTCTGGGAGCCTGAGGTGGGGTGTATTTCTGTGAATGTCCTGGGTTCAACCCCCATTACCGTCAAATACATAAATAAGGTATATGCTTAGTTCGGGAAACTCAGCCAGGGAGGTTGATTTCCTGCAAAGATAAGATAAGATCCCTTTTCCCATCCTATCTTTTATATGTTTCAAAGGTTCTGTACCAAGCATTGGTTTCTAGCACTAAATTGAGAGTGATAAATGTTTGCCTTCTATTACTGGTCCTTAGACACTTCAACAAGTGTCTTGCTCTTCAGCAGAAACTGGGCTTTGAGTGATTTCAACATAATATTCCTTTTCCCCTCGTTCTTATCAGGAAGGCTTCCTTGTCAGGTTTGGACGAAACAAGTTACACAAATACAGTATGTTCCAACCCACTAATATTCAACAATAAGAAAAGAACTTAGGCAGTAGATTGGGGATGAGTGAAGTACACTTCCTGGTTTCCTGCATTCTTTGTGTAAATCCTTTTTTCTAATAGCTGTAAATAGATCTTCTCTTTCTGGGGAGCAGATGGAGTCAGGGACATAGCGAGTGGAAGATGTGGGAGCACAAAACTTCCAAGGTCAGATGTTGGATGTAGGGAAAGAGGAAAACATGGGCAAAGCTGGTTAATGGCTTCTACTTTAAGAAGGTGCTACACAAACCCACATATTACCACTTTTGTTGTTTGCAGAATTATTAAAGAATGTTGGCTCTTTCCATAAAAAGTGTAGCTTAAAGGACTGGGAGGTGCCTAGGGAGAGAATACCAACCCAAGGGTTTCGCTTGTATTCTGTAAAGGACCCAGCAGTAAATAGGCTGTGTGGACCACGTGGCCTATGTTCCAGTTGCTCAGCTCTGTCACAGTTGTGTGTATGTAGCTATCTGTGTTTTAACTGAATGAACTGGCTGTTTTTCAGTAAAATTGCATTGAGGAAACAGACCGCCAGCCAGAGTTGGGTTGGCAGGCAGTGGATGGTAGATCCCTCAGCAGTGGGGCAGGTGTGCTGAATAACGCAAACAAAAGGAATAGGGTAAAAGTGTTATATGTAGACTGCTTTGGGGCTAGAGGAATGTGGTATTTTTCCTCACCTGACTCCTGTCTTTTAATATTTGACCCATAGGGGAAATTTGGGGGAGATCTACAATTTAGTTTTTGTGGGAAGAAGGAAATGTTGTGAAGAGGTTGAAAGATGAAGGAAATTTTATTAACCACAGGAAGGAGTTTCCAGGGGGCACATCTGAAACGTATAACATTTTATAAAATTGTCCAAATAACTTCTCATGACAGTGAGTGAGCAGTGAACGAAAGTCCAGTCATAACAGCTCTGATAGTGATTGGACTGTGGCTGACTGGGTAGCTAACCCTCTTTAGAAAGCAGAAGTCATGGCTTTGCGTCCTGATTGTTCACCAGGTTAACTGAGGAAGCAGTTCATTTTGTTGGAACTCAACTCTGACTGCCCTAGCCAGCCATCTCCCAACTGTGATGGCAGACGGAGAAGGAACTGATTCGCTTTGATCTGCATCTCTGCCGCTGAGCTGCATCCCAAGTCCAGTGTTTTACTCACAATAGTGTAGGCCTCCAACCAGAAATGGAGCCTTGTTGAGAGTGAATCTAATTTTGCCTCTCTTTTTTCTGCAGGCACAATAACTTGCCTGAAGTTCTATGGCAACAGGCACTTAATCAGTGGGGCCGAAGATGGACTCATCTGTGTCTGGGATGTGAAGAAGTGGGAATGCTTAAAGTCAGTTAAAGCACACAAGTAAGTTGGCTCTTCCCGCTGGCGCTCTCCAGGCACCATGCAAGTTGGGAGCTAACTGTTGGTTTCATTTTAGAGGACATGTGACCTTCCTTTCCATTCACCCTTCTGGCAAGTTGGCCCTGTCTGTAGGCACAGATAAGACATTAAGGTAAGTCATTCGTGCTCAGAAGTGTCTTTACCAAGTTGGATCTTTTGCCATAATAATTAGATATTGTTTGCTGTGTTGTTCCACAGTTTTCAGTCATTTAAAGACCCTATGATACCAGGAAAAGGTAGAAAGCTAATGATCTGTTTCATAATGGTAGTATTAAAAATGACCTGCATTCAAATGTGCACTAATGTTCCTGTCATCCTAAATTGTGGACCAAGGAAGAGGATAGTCTTAAGATGAAATGGTTTAGGAGATGAAAGCTTTTGAAAATACAATAAGCACAACATATTAAAAGTGTGGGAACAAAGTGTACTTTAATTCTGTTTGATTATAAAAATTTCAAGTTGGAAGTGGTACACACCTGTAATGTCAGCACTCTGGGAGGCTGAGGTAGGAGGATTGCAAGTTCAAACCTAGCCCGAGCAAGATATTGAGACCCTGTCTGAAATTTTTAAAAAGTGAGCTCAGTGCAGAGGCCCTGGTTCAATCCCCATTATTGGGAAGGAAAAAAAATCAAGACGTTGCTGAAAGAAAAATGGCAGGTTCTTAATAGTCAGGATTTGGTAAAATTGTCATTTAAGCAAGTCTTCATTTTGCTTGTGCTTCAATTGATGATCATGCCAAAAGCAAGCTTCTTGTTTTATAGAACGTGGAATCTTGTGGAGGGAAGATCAGCTTTCATAAAAAATATAAAACGAAGTGAGTAGTTTTGTTTAATAAGCTAATGGAACATGAATGTTCACAAACACATGCTTATGTATATGTTTACAGAGGTTTATTTTCGGGCCGGGGATTTAGCTCAGTGGTTTTGCCGCCTGCTGCGCAGGCGCAAGGACCCGAGTTTGATCCCTGGTACCAAAAACAAAGAACAGAGGTTTGTTTTCTATATACTGGTACTGTTTCCTGTGAACGAAATGTTTCCATTCACTTTCTTATGTAGGTTCTTGTGGCTCTGCCGTGAGTCAGCTCTGTAATTTTCAATAATTGTTTGAGTTAACTTGCAAAATGTATACCATAAATTTGTTGTGAAGATCTAATAGGAAAATGGATATGAAAATGCAAATAGTGTAAATATTTGCTCTTTTTATTACTCTGATCATCTTATTTCTCTGTTGATAAAATCTTGCTTTTATAACTTCCAGATGCTCACATAGTAGAATGGTCCCCGAGTGGGGAGAAATATGTAGTTGTCATCCTGAATAAGATAGATGTCTACCAGCTTCACACTGCATCCGTTAGTGGCACCATCACCAATGGGAAGCGGGTTTCTTCTGTTACCTTTCTCTCAGTAAGTTGTCAAACACTAGCTGGGGGAGTTTAAAGACTGCCAGGCCTGCCAACAGCATCACGAGTACCCTTCCTGTTCTCTCTCCTAGGACTCCATCCTCGCAGTGGCTGGAGACGAAGAGGTAGTGAGGTTTTTTGACTGCGAGTCCCTGATGTGCCTCTGTGAATTTAAAGCCCATGAACACAGGTATTTTACCAATTCCTCTGTGTAGGTGTAGAGCATTAATGAATGTTACACATGTACAGGTAACAGTTTCAGAAAGCAGAGTGTTTTAGAACAACTGCAGAGACAATTAGAAATGTGTGCAAAGAATGTTACATTCCTGGACTTTGTAATGCAGAAGTGATGGCTGTGATTAAGACTGACCATTTGGACCTTTTTCAGGTAAACCTGTTAGACTTGGAGCTTGAAAATTAAAATAAACAGGGCTGGGTGTATAGCTCAGTGGTAGAGCATTTGCCTAGCAGGTGGGAGGCTCTGGGTTTCATCCCCCAGACTACAAAAGACAAAGGCCCTAAACAATCTTGCTTTGTCCCAGCCGCTCTTAACTCTCCTTGTTCACTTCCTCCTTTCCATGCCCGTTTTTTTTTTTTTTTTTTTCCGGTACCGGGGATTGAATTTGGGACCTTGCGCTTGTGAGGCAAGCGGTGGAACCACTGAGCTAAATCCCCGGCCCTCATCTGCATGTTCTTGTTCTTCTTTGTCTCGAATCTTAAGTCTTATTTTCCAGAGAACTGGGATTGAACCCAGGGCATCCAGACTGAGCAACATCCCAGGCCTTTTTAAATTTTTGAGGTGGGGTCTTGCTAAGTCACCAAGTTGCCCGGGCTGGGCTTGAATTTGGGATCCTCCTGCCTCAATGGGGTGGGATTACAGGCATGTCCCACCCTATCTTTGTAAATGGACTCCTACAGTCAGTATATGGGGTGTTGCTCTGGATTTGGGGAGTAAACACATTCAAGGAAGGCCATTTCAGATGCATTACTAACGCTTAGGATATTTGGCCATCTGTTCATGCATTCATGCCGGAGTCACTGAATATCCAGTATAAGGCAACAGATTATAAGCAAGGTATGCAGCTCAGTGGTAGAGCACAGGAAATACAAATACGACTAAAGAATAAAAGGGTCATTTATTTAGATAAGATGATAAGGGAAGGAAAAATAAACCTTAAGGATAAAAAGGAATAAAGGATAACACCCACACCCACCCACCCCATACTAGGGATTGAATCTAGGGCCTCGGACACACTAGCCAAGCGCTGTATCACTGAGCTACAGCCCAGACCCAAGTAGCCCAAGGAGGAAAGAGCTTGGTAGGTTTTAAGGACAGGCAGAGGGCCTGCAGGGCTCATTAGAGTGAGAAGGGAGAGGGCAGGGGGCAAACTGATGCTTGCAGGCAGAGTGAAGAGCTTAGATTTCATTCTGAGTGGCTCTGTAGGTTTTGTTTTTGTTTTTTCTATTTTTGTGGTGCTGGAGACCGAATCCAGGGCCTTGAGCCTGCTGAGCAAGCATCCTCCTGCTAAGCTGTACCCTAGCCCCTGTTCTGTTTGCTGGGTTTTTTTTTTTTTTGGGTTTGAGACAGAGTCTTGCTATGTAGTTGAGGCTGACCTTCAACTCACTACGTAGCTCAGGCTGGCCTCAAACGTGCAGTGATTCTCCTGCCTCAGCCCCCCCAGTGCTGGGAGTACAGGCCTGTGCCACCACTCCTGGCATCGTTAAGGCAGGCAGACTGGTGTGAGGAGCCAGCTGCACAGGCGCAGCACCGGCTTCAGCCCTGATCCTGTCAGGGCCAGGCCTCATCCTCATCTTCATCACTTCCTCACCCGCTGTGTTATTTTAAAGTAGATGCCCAGTTTTGTGGGGTTGTAAGCCTAAAAGTAACATGATTTGACTTCACATGAAAAACTGTTAGCGAGCTAACCTGGGAGCAGAAAAGCCAGTCAGGCGACCTCCATAACCCAGAGAGAAAAGCCGCTTGCACAGAGTGGAGACCCTGGAGGAGAGGGAGGTGGCTGCTAGGAAGGGGCTATCATTCTCCTTTGTGTTCCCTTTCCTCACAGCACTGAGAATGCTTGGGGCCAGGGACTCCAGTCATACTTACTTCCTTTGAGATCGCCCAGTTAGTTATAGGCGTCTTTAGGTTTTTCTTACAACCTGGCTGATGGTCAATTTTACCCTGTTTTTCGTCCTGAAAATGAGTCACCAACCAACAGGTATATGAAACATGGTTATATGTTAAGACGCAGTTGAGCAGTGTGGGATAGCATTGCAAAAGCAAGAGACATAGAAGTGAGCATAGAGGGTTTTGGTTTTGCTTTATGCATAGTTTTATGAGGATACCACATGCCTTGGAACTGATGGTCTTGTGTGGCATCCATGTTTCTGTCCTAGGGTAAAAGACATGATCAGTGTTGAAATTCTGGAGCATCGTGTTCTTGTTACAGCGTCCAGCGATGGTTTCATCAAAGTGTGGAAGCTGAAGCAGAATAAGGTCGGTGCCGTAGTGTAGTGTGAGTACACTCTCACCCAGGTTTTGTTGCCAGTACTTTTTGTTAAGTGAAGCTGAATATTTTTGTTGTAAGACATCAGTCTTCAAGCATTTTAAAATTTCTGGGCATGATTGATATTAATGGTTTTAAAATCAGGCTCCCCATAGAGCTGTGGGTTGGCATTTGTGAGTCCGAGCTGATGGCAATCTGCCCTCTGCTCTTCTCAGAAAAGTGTCACTTGCTCCTTGGGCAATGAGTGTTCTCTGGAAAGTACCTGGTGAAAACACTGCCGCTGCTACACCGAATCTGTAACACCCTGATTGTGACTGTGGAACTAACAATTAGTTCCCAGAAGTCTCTTTAGAATTTCAGTTTATTGTTGCTTATTCCCTCATAAACACATTCTGTGAATACAGTTTTTTGGAGACTACTTTGTACAAGTTTTTGGTTTGTTAAGCCCTAGAAATCAGTGAGAAATATTCCATAGAAAATCTATTTATCATTTCTGTGTACATCTCAGAAATTGACCTGTGAATGCAACAATCAAAACAGTCATAAATCAAGAGAGTAGACTACTTCTCGACGTCATGTCTTACGCTCAAGAAAATAGAGACAAGCAGCACCTAGTGGTGAGGTTACGTTCTAGGGGATGCTTCAGGAGGCAGTTTCGTCACCGTGACCGTGAGAACATTGCAGGGTGCTTACGCCCAGATGGTACAGCCTCCTGCACGTGCGTCTGTCATTGCCTGAAACATTGCTCTATGGTGCATGGCTGTAATAGATTTTAAATCAGGCTGACTTGGTTATGGACAAAGAAGAGCACTCAGAATTCCTCTTACCTACATTATATGTTTTTCTCCCTTCACTTTTAGGATGTTCCGCCGTCGTTACTGTGTGGAGTAAACACTCAGGCCAGGCTGACGTGTCTAGGAGTGTGGTTGGATAGAAGGGCAAACACAAAGGAGAGCCTTCCTCCACCGGCAGAGCCTTCTCCTGGTAAATGAAGTTGATAGTTTTTAAAAATTGATCATTCTTGACCTCTGGGATTGTTGAAGTGGATGTTGTCTGGATAGCTTCGCTTGATGGTCAGCCTGTGTTTATTTTACTCAGAGAGTGGGACACAGTCTTAAATGCACTCTCTTGTGTTTCAGTAAGTGAAGAACAGGCCCAGATCAGCAAAAAGGAATCTGCTGCCGTGGTGCAGGCAGAAGCAGCATCAAGACCTGACCCACAGACACGTGGCTTAGGCAGTGACAGTAAGAAGCCAGCCAGAGGCCGCAGCCTGGGGTCAAACAAGAAAAGGAAAGTGGTGGAAATGTTGGAGAAGAAGAAGGGAAAAAAGAAGAAAATATAACACAGTGAACCCTAGAGTTCCCCTCCTCCAAAGAACTCTTTTTAGACAGAATTGTCATTTTCAAGTATTGTATCTAAATTTTTTTTTTCTGAGTAAAAGCAAGGAATTTTTTCTTCTGGAGAAAATGTATAGCTTTTAAAGAAACCACTTTTAGGTGGGTTTTTTTGTTTTTAACTGATAAAATTATTTTTGACAGATGAAAATAATTATATATCGTGAGCTTTGAGGTGGTCGTGCACATCTGTAATCTCAGCACTCTGGAAGGCTGAGGTAAGAGGATTGAAAGTTTGAGTCCATTAATGACTTAGGGAGAACTTGTGTCCAAAAAAAAATTACAAAAGGCTAGGGACAGTAGCACAGTTTGGACCTTTGTTAAGTACCAGTGCTGCCCACCCAAAAGAAAATTACTCATCCTGGTAGTTTAAAATTATAAAATTTTTTTTTTTTCTTCTGCGGAACTGGGGATTGAACTCAGAACCTTGTGCTTGCCAGGCAGGCTCCGGTGACACTGAGCTAAACCTCTGGCCCTGTAATATATAATTTTTATTGTTATGCAAAGCAAATAAAGGTCTTTCTCCTTTCTCAGTGTAACTTAATACAAAATCTTGAAACTGTTTGGTGTGGCGCTGGGGTGGAGCTCAGGGCCTTTTGTGTGTCATGGAAGTGTTACTCCTGAGCTACCCTCTCTGTCCTACAACCGTATTTTTGTTTTTAACAGATGGATGAAGGTTACTTTTTATTCTGCTTTCACGCAGTGGCCTACAAGACATTTTAAGGGCAGGAAAACAGACATCTATTATTTTTTCATGTCTTTCATCAAAAAAATTGACTTAACTAATCTACAGTAGTCTTGAATTTAGCCTGTGACTGTAATTTCGTCATCTGTTACCTAGAAAATGTAAGCATTTTTCTTAGATGACTAGATGTTTTGAAAAGATACATTAATACCAGATGTCTTCATTTGAATTAGCTGGGGAGATAAATACCTAGGCCCCAAGGACAATGGCTTCTGATTAGACAGCGAGGAATCAACATCTGGGCCCTGGAATTGTCATGTACAAGGAAGTCCTCTAGGACACGAAGCCACTTCCGGGTCCGATATTTCAGACTGCCCCTCAACTGATTTTGGGCTTCTAAACAAAAATAAAAACAAGTGGTTGTTTCTCCAAGTTCAGCCTTTTGAGGTTAATTATGGGTTGGCATACAGTTGTAAGGAACCCAGGAATCCCGTGTCCCCAGATACAGTACAGTGTCACACCCGGATGGAGAACATAACAGGAAGATGGAGAACATAACAGGAAGATACAGAACATTGCTTTCATCCACAGGGCTCACCTAGGAGTGCACCTGCAGGGTCATAGGGTGTTTCACCTGCAGTTCTTTAAGAAGAAAGCAGACTTTTCCAGCTGTGTGATTTTACATTCCTCTTTTTTTTTTTTTTTGGTATCAGGAATCGAACTCTGGTCCTTATACTTGCGAGGCAGGCGGCAAAACCTAATTTTACATTTCTGCCAGTAATGTCTGAGGGATACACTTTCGGCATTCCTTCCGGTGTTTGTGTTGCTCTCTTAGTCGTCCTGTTTTCTGGAGAGGTTTGCAGGAAGGCTGCAGGGCAGAGTGGAGGTTGGGGCAGGCAGAGGGCTGGTCCTCTTCCAATAGGCCTGTGCTCTCTCCTCATGGCTTCTGCTCACTGGTCTTTTCCACTTGCTTCTCCCTGTGGGGTTTTCATTGCTTTAGTAACTGTAATCCCAGTGTTTCCCACGATAGTTCCAGTCAGAGTACACAGCTCTCCTTGGCGAGGGGAGTCGGCTCTGTCTCTTCCCAATAGGTACCTGTGGTCTGCATATCACCCGGCCACCCCATCCATCCCATCTGTGTCGTAATCTCCTTTGATTATGTAGAGGCAGATTTCCCTGCATTCTGTTCCTTCCTTAGACCACCCCATGCACCACCTGCGCCTTCCTGTCCATTGCTTACCCAACAGCCCTGTGTCAACTGTCCACCATCCTAGCCCTGGGGCTGAAAGCGAAAAAACAAGCTCCCTGCCCAAGGACAAAAGCCTTGGGGAATAAAGTGTATTCAGTGCCACAGCACGGGGTGACAGGGCAGCATGACTGATGTTCCTGTGAAAGGTGAGATGGTCTTTGGTTTTCGGAAGAGGGTAGGCTGGTTGTGAGAGGGAACAGCACTTCCTTAGTTAGGAGGACTGAGCAGCCAGAAGCAAAAGCAGCTCTGGCTACCCTGGAGTTCAGCAGACCGGACTCTGATATGTCTGAAAGAAAGCTGGGATCTCTGCCCTCCAACCTGTTAGTCAGGCATCCGCAGGAGTAAACAGCCAGGGCAGCTTCTCTGGACAGCCCAGCTCCCCGGCGCCATTCCTGCCTGGGATTTGCAGAATGAGATCCACTCCCGCAGGCAGACGGGGGGGCAGTGTGGGTTCTCCCAGGAGCAGAACCCTGCTGTAAGCCGCACCAGGGATGTAGGCCTCACGCCCTGGCCCCGCACCATCCTGGAAAACTCCCACAGAACCAGTCCCTGGTGCCTTAAGGTTGGGGATCGTGTCCTAGAGTAAGTTACAGGTCAGGGAAGGGAGGGGGAAAAGTTCATCTCAGTTCACAGCTTCATGTAAATCAACAGTAACAACTGCCAGGCCTAACTTAACTGAGTCCTTCACAAAGGGGGAAAGCAAACAGGCTGCTTTCCGCAAACAGCAGCAGCTCCTCAGTAAATAGGGCAGATGGACTCCAAAGGAAGTACACAACCCCCGGCGCCGAGAAGGCCCGTGATTGTCTACACACCTGAGCAGACCGTCCTGGGCATCCGAGTCATAAACGTTGCACCCCAGATTCCTTGGCCCCTTCAATACCACAGAAGCCTAATTCCTTTCCCAGTGAGCTGCTGATAGCTCTCTGCTGGTGTTAGCCCAGCCACTGTGGGATGAAATCTCTCCCAGCCAGCTGCTGCTATTTCCCAGGGTCAGAGGTGATAAAGGGCTTTTCCCAGCCAGCTGCCAGAATCTCCTGATTTTAGTCCCTGATAACTGGAATAAACTTTCCTTTCAAAAGCCTATTTTTGATAAGATTCTTTATAACAACAACAAAACCCAAAACTGCACCTTCTTTTCCTGAGGGTTGAGGATTACGCATGGAGGCCACATAGCCTTCTGCTTTAGAGCTACCCAACAAAGCAGCAGCAAAAATTCCTTTTATGGACTAAGCTCCCACCCTAGGACTTTCCCTGCTGCACATTGTCCTATTCCTGTTACTTATGATATGTGATAGAAAGATACAGTGAATATTTAAAACTTTTAAAATGTATTACAATAAAAGACATTGCTATGAACCCCACACACACTTTGAACACACTTATCCCATCATTCTGGCCACTTTCTGAAGCACTTCTCAAAATCCTCTTTCATGTCTTTAGTTGCTCTGTCAAGTGACTGCTGAGGTGTCCTAATTCCATTCAAAACATTTCCCTTTCTTGGTCATCTTGATTTTGGGGAAGAGCCAGCAGTTGAACAGTGCCAGATCCAGTGACAGGTGGATGAGAACACCACGCACTGTCATGTTTTTACAAACCGGCCTTTGCTGGATGGCACTCGGCAGCAGCACTCGCCATATATATCTTTTTAATCACACCTTGTAAAGACACTCAGAAAACACTTCCAGAACTGCTTTAGAAAGAGGCAAGAATAATGGGATGAGTGTTTGGAAGTGAGGGGGAGTATTTTGAGGGGATTCATGGCAATGTATCTTTTATAGTCATAATTTTTTTTTTTTTTGTAGACAAGATCTCAAGAAGTTCAGGTTGGCCTTGAACTCACTATGTAGCCCAGGCTGGCCTTGAACATGCAATCCTCCTGCCTCAGCCTCCTGAGTGCTGGAATTACAGGTGTGCACCACCACACCCAGCTTTTACAGTCATAAAATATTTAATGTAATCATTCACTATATTTTGATCAAGTCTCAAAACCAGAGTGGGTTCGATGTATGTGACTTATGTTTCCTCCCCAAATTTCACTGTAAGCCCTGACCCCTCAGGACCAGCGGACATGTTTCCCCTGCCCTCTGGCCATGGTGCAGGTGAATTAGGGAACTTGTCTCGGCACCAGCCCTCTCACCCTTTGGCTTCATCCATTCAGCTCAAGAAGCTCTATTTTCAGAAGCTGCTTAGTGTCAAGTTTAACAGCAGGAAGTGGGAGGCCAGGGTGAAGCCCAAGCAAGCTCTTCCTCGTCTCTGACTGCACATTGTGCCCATTGTCTTGCTTCTCACTATTGACCTTCCCTCATTCTCTTGTGCATCTGCTGACCCACCCAGTACGCTTACTGACCAAGCATCGTGTGTGTGTGTGTGTGTGTGTGTGTGTGTGTGTGTGTGTGTTTCTTTGAGGCAGGGTCTCACTAAGCAGTTCAGGCTGGCCTTGAACAGGAGGTGAGGGAGCAAGTGGGCCAGAGAGTTCCCGGCAAATGAAGCAGGACTTTGGAGCACGGAGTCTGGGGCAGCATAAACAGAGGGCAGAGAGAAGGAGCTGAGGCTGGGGAGGTCCATGCGCAGGCTTTGCAAGCCCCAGCCTCAGATAAGGGAGCCACCAAAGGCTTTTGAGCACTGGGAAGACCTGGATTTAAAACAGGAGGGCTCTGGGCACGGTGCGGAGAACAGACTGAAGGTTTACAGCATCAGCGAAGCGTGTGACCTTGGGCTCCCCTCTGATTTCCTCCACGTATCAAACAGGAAACTGCAGTCCTTTCTGCATGGAGTTGGTATGAAGATTAAATGAGTTCCTCGGCGTAAAGCACTGCAGAGTCCAGCATGCAATAACATGGCACATGGGTTTGTAACACTGTTTTAGGACCCCCTATGAGACCAAGAAACGCATGGCAGGTAGGGTAGGCTGACAAGCTGGGCTACATAGCAAGACTGTCTCAAAAAACAAAACATACAAAGAGGCAGCATATTCCAGAGGCACTGCCTTTTAAGTCAGGCAGATCTTATTTCAAGTAGTAGCTCTAGCAATGACCGGACTTAGGTGACAAGGTCAGAGACCACTGCAGGGACAGAGGACAGATAAACTCCTGGACCCTTAACCTGTTACTTATAAAAAGCATGATTTGTGTTCGCTTCTGAGGCAGACAGACTTAAAAGTGGTTTTCACTAAAACCTGTGATTCCCCACATGGGCCCACAGGTGCCCAATGGGTAATTAGAACAAAGATTGGCCTTTGCTTTGTATCCTTTATTACTTTGTATTTTGGAAATAGGTACCGTGTGTTGGTCATTGAGGAAAAGCTGGCAAAACACTGACCTGGCCCTTTAAGAAGGAGGGCACCAAGAAAAGAGATTCACAGGACATTCAGCTGTGCATAGAAGTCTTCCCTGCCTAATCCTAGGGTCCCCTGGGATCCCAGCAGAGCCCAGCCCCTAGACGGAGGCTGCCCTGAGCCAGAGCAACCATGGAAACTAGGACTGAGACCCCAGGCTGCTGCAGCCCCCCAAAACACGGGTTTCCATCCTGTGCACAGGCAGGCCAGTCTGACCCACCTCTTCAAACCTGGGCCTGCTAAGTTTCCTCAAACTGAAGCCTTTTCTTATTTTCTCTTTCCTTTGTTAGAAGACCAGTTTTTGTTTTGATGTTTCGTTTTTTGGTCCTGGGGATTGAAACTAGGGCCCGCACACGGAGTGACATCTCCAGTCTCGTCCTTTTGATATTTTCTCTTAGCAGAGGGTCTCACCAAATTTCCCAAGCTGGGCTGGGCTCAAGCTGTGATCCCCTCCCTCAGCCTCCCAGTGTGCTGGGATCACAGGTGTGCATCACCACTTCCAGCTCTGGTTTGACTTTTGTCAGAACTCTACCCTCCTCCCCCTTTGCTCTTAGTTTTGTCTCCTTAATTTTAATTTTTATGTATGTTTGCAGTACATAATGATTATATTCATCTTGTGGAGCTGGTACAGGTACATAGCACATCTTAATTCTTTTTATATCCAATTCTCTCCCCCCCCCCTTCCTCCATCTCTTCGCTGTCTTACTTTTGCTTGCTTTGTTTTTTTTGTTTTGTTTTGTTTTTTGAGACAGGGTCTCACTATGTAGTTCAGCCTGCCTTTGAACTCACGTCAATCCTCCTGCCTCAGCCTCCCAAGTGCTGCAATTACAGGCGTGAGCCACCACACCTGGCTCTTAATTTTCAATTAAAGCTTTTTCCTGTGAATTTGAGCTGAATGCCTGTTTTAATTTACATTATCATTGAAGCAAGGGCCTGTGCTAGCTGGTGACACAGATAATTTCATTTTCTAAGGTTTAGTTTCTTTAAAGGGTAGGTGGGTGATGGGTCATGGTGATTTGGATACAACTAACATTCGAAGCTTGAACCAGACTAGAGAGGACTGAACCTCCAAATCCATTTCCAGCTGTTTAAAACAAATTCCATTGTTCATTATTGAAGAAACTTCCATTAAACTGGTGGGGGTCTGGTATTCTGGGATGGTTTCAAGTTCCCAGTCTTGATCAGCGTTGGCTGGTTAGATTCAGCTACAGCAAACCTGGGCTTCAGTTATGCTATCTGAAAGATAGCGGCTTCTGGAAGCAGGAAGTTTTTCTTTTAGAGTAAGTATGTGCTGCAATTAGCTTTATTCACTGAAGACTATGAGACGCATCTATGTGGATACTTGATGGATGGATGTAGGGGATAAAAAAAAGAGAGAGGAAGTTAGGGGTGACGCCAAACTTTGGTGTAGAACTAAATAAGTGGTCGTGCAGGAGATGCAGAGCCGGTCTGCGGCAGAGGCAATGTCACTCTGGACTTGGGTCCCACAGAGGAAGCTGGAAACTAACTCACCTCTGAGATGCTTCCAGGAGCCTCATTTCCTAAAATACCAACAACCAAGCGAGCCTTATTTTCTCTCCTGTGCACCTTATTCCCCGCAAGTCCTGCTGGGAGCACGCAACAGGTCCGGGCTAGGGTGCCACTCACCCTCCAGGGTCCCCATCTGCCTCACACCAGGAAGCCTGCATGTCCACTGACGTAGCCTCAGAACCCAGCCGCAGACGCTTTCTCCCGCCTGCACCTCCGACCTGCCCAGACGCTCTGGCTTCGAGCAACTTCGGAGTCCAACTCTGGGTTCCTGGCTTTTGGCCACTGCCCTTAACTTTCAACCCCAATTTCATCCCCAAGTTCCACCTGGCCCCGGGGACACAGAGTCTGCTCCGGAAGGATACCGGTCCCGCCTCCGTCGCACCCGCCCATAGGTGCTGGGCCTATCCGCGAGTCGTCGCCAGAGGCCCCGCCCTAACCACGCCCATCCCCCCCGGAGCTCGGGGCACCTGACTTCAAGGCCCTCCCCAAGCCCCGCCCCGGGACGCCGAGACCTCGCTGCGCGGGCCCAGACCTTGACCCGGACGTCGGTCCATGCGTCGCCCGCTGTACGCGCTCTTTCGCGAGAGCTCCTCGGGAAGCTGGGTTTGTTCCTTTATACCGAGTCTGACTTCTGGGAAGTAGAGGGGAGGTTCCACGACTGCCTGCTTTTCGTCTCCCTCTCCAGGCAAGAAGGGTTTAGGCCGCGTCGCGCTGCTTTTCTAGTCGTGCATTTCCCTTCACATAAGTGGGACCTCGCGGAAGCCCGAGCTCTGGCAAACGCCGACCGGTGCAGCCCGGCACTGGTCCGGTTCCTGAGGGCTTTAGGGTCCATTTCCTTAAAAATTTGGAGTTGGGTGCTGGACTGGCGTCGAATCCTCGGCCCTGAGGCCTGCGCCTCTCTCCAGGGCAGCCGAAGGCGGTGGGCGCTGCGTGGCCCTGGACGCCGAGCCCGTCCTTACGAGGAGGGCTGCTACTTTCCTAAGGGCGCCGACTCGGGCTTCCGGGTGTCTGCTCCTCCTCGCCCGCAGTCTACCGAGAGCTGCGGAGCTGTGGGTCGGGGCAAGTTGGTAACATTTTGCAAACGTTGAGTGTTGAAGTAGTTTGATTCCTGGGGCAGAAATAAAAATCACCCGCGCGCCCTCCCACCCTCCCGAGGTCCGGAGTATTTGCTCCCTGATGTGGCGATGACCTGGTTAGGTGGTGGAAGGGTTAACCCGGTTCCCGGCCAGCCGGCTCAGTGGATCTTACTTTCCCGTAGGCCTCTGTAAGGACTCTTGCTAGGAAAACAGGCTGGGTATCTGTCCACCTTTTACTGTGTCCCAGGCACCTTTCTGAATGCTCACAACGGCCCCTAGCTTATCTTCACGGTACAGTGGAGGAGCCTGAGGCTTTGGGGGGTTGTGCCGCCTAGGAGTCCATTTCTTTTCCCACCGCGGGCTGGAGCCTGAGATTAGGCGCACTTGTGATTGCTGGAGAGCGTGCTAGTAACGGCCTCTGATCGTCCTCTCTGCAGGTGCAGCCCTGGTGTGGTCTCCTGCCTGCACACAGAACGATGCAGAAGAACACTGGCCCACTGTAAGTGTACGGTAAATGGACACGGAATAGCCTGGAGCGCCTAAAGCCAGAATTCCTGTCCCCTCGGGAAAGAGCCCTAAGCGTGGGATTCTGGGGACAGCGTGAGGTGTGGGAGGATCTCTGGGCATGAGGCCAAAGACCTGGATTTGAGTCCCCGCTCTGCCACTGACTGATTGGGTGATCTGGCAAGAATTCCAACCTCCGTGGGCCTTATTTTTTTGGGGGGGGTACCGGGGATTGAACTTGGGACCTTGTGCTTGCGAAGCAGGCGGCGGAACCACTGAGCTAAATCCCGGGCCCCTCCGTGGGCCTTATTTTAAAGTCCATCCAGTGAGTATATGGCTTGTTTTTAAAACATCGTTGGTGCTGTTTTCTCCCTCTTGCGTTTCAGAGTGCCTTTACATTATTTTGGCTTTGGCTATGCAGCACTGGTTGCTACTGGTGGGATCATTGGCTATGTAAAAGCAGGTAAGGGTTTTTATGTAGCTACTTGGCCTCTTAAAAATCTTTGTTTATAGCCAGGCTAGATGATGTCTGCCTGTAATCCCAGCATTCTTGGAGACTGAGGCTGGAGGTTTGCAAGTTAGAGCTCAGCCTGGGAAACTTAGCTGCTTAGCAGTACCCTGTTTGAAAATATAGAGGGTAAGGCTGTAGCTCCGTGTCAAAGCCTGGGTTCCATCCCTAGTATCACACACAGAAACACACATGCACACACAAGAATACAAACTTCAAAAATCTGTCATTGTTGCAGTGACAGCAACAAATGAATGCCAAGGTCCCCGGAAGAGCACTGTTGTTTGGTCAAGTGTGCCTGCCCTGTGAGCCCCCTGACTCCTGCCGGCCCCCCGCTGCCTTCTGGTTATCAGGCTGAGCTGAGCCAGGCTGCCTGGGTCTGCCCCTTTATCTGCATTTAGGCAGGCATGGTAGTAGACTTTTATTATCATCGACTGCCATCCATCAGCCTTGACCCCCTAGGCGCCATCTCTGAGCTTCTGAAGGAGGAGCAAACCTCTAGTTGTCTTTTTCTATTTCCTTTCTTTTTTTTTTTGGTACAGGGGATCGAACTCAGGACCTTGCACTTGTAAGGCAGGTGTGGTGCCACTGAGCTACATCCCTGGCCCATTTTCTTTCTTTTTTTCTCTTTCTCTCTCCCTTTCTTTCTTTGTTTTATTTTGATTAATTCGTGCTGGGGATGGAACCCAGGGCCTTGTGTTCCCTAGGCATTTAATCTACTATGGAAGCTCTTCATTAAGAGAGGTAGGAGGGGCATCAGTGAATGTACTTGTTTCAGCCCTCTTCCCTGACTACACACACACACACACACACACACACGCCCCGAAGCACTTATTGTCCTGATTTTTTTTAACTGACACTGTTTCCGACTCCTTTTGTAATATGCTTGGGGTCCTCCTGTCCACACTTCCACCCTTGCTGAGTTGATCAGGACTTGTTAAGGAAAAGCCCTGCCCACAGTTCCTCCCAAGGAGGGAAACTCTCCTTTTCTGCTTGGAATGGAAGTGCCCTACCTGTTAGAAAGCGAAGTGGTAAGACCTTGCCTTCCTGGTGAGATCAGCAAACTCCCAAAACATTTTCCTGCTTGAGAGCGCCTCGGTTATAAACTGTGAAGTTCCCTTTGCCAGTTTCCTCTGCAGGGAAGGGCACTCGGGTGGAGTTGGTAAGTGAGCCAAGTGTTGGAAATAACGCAAGTGCATGTGTTTGCTTCCCTTTAGGTAGTGTGCCCAGCCTGGCCGCTGGGCTCTTCTTCGGGAGTTTGGCAGGCCTGGGTGCTTACCAGCTGTCTCAGGACCCCAGGAACATTTGGGTTTTCCTAGGTATGTTTGCTTCCTGTCTCTGAAAGGCGGCTCTGTAATCCTAATCCGCTCTACCAGAAGACCCTGCTCTGGGGGGATGTGGCTAACGTGGAACCCAAAACAGTATTGACTACTTCTGCCCAAGGGAACTCCCAGTGGGGAGTGGGTCTGGTTTCTGTTCATCGTTTATGTATAGAATGTGGGAGGGTTTTCATACCTCGTGAATATTTACATCTCCCCAGTAAGATTAGTTTGGACTCGTACAGGCAAATGTGTGTCTGTTAGCTGCAGCCACTGGGCTTAGGCACTGCAGATGTCTGCCTAGGCGTTACTAAAATAACACGCACTGTGTGAGCTTTGCATTCGGATTGCTTTCTCCCTTTGGGAAATCGCTCTTCTCTTTAGCAGCTAGTTGTGGAAGACACAGGCCTTGCTTCGGGGAGCTTTCAGCCCAACTGGGGAAGTCAGACCTGATAAAGACGGGACTTGGGGCTGCAGGAAAGTGGATGGGAAGATTGCTTCTGATCAGGGTGGCTTTCGACGCACTTTCGTTGGGCTCCACCCGTGCGTCACACAGCACCAGGAGTGTGGGTGCCTTAGTGTGTCTTTGCACCCACAGGGTGAGAACACATGCAGCTCTGGCCCTAAGACAAGCAGGAGTGGGGACAAGTGTGTCCCAGACCACAGAGGGGGAGAGGGCCCAGCAGTGGCCGGAGGAGGTCAGGCCCAGCCCTTGGCTCTGCCTCGAAGCTTCCTTATGCATGACCCGCAGACCACTCTTCCCTGCAGCCTGTCCCTTCTCCAGTCTCAGCAAATGTCCTCATGCTGAGCTCCCTGAAGAACCAGCAGCCCCAGGCGAAGATTCATCCCCGGTCCCTTCCTTGTCCCGCGTCCCTTCCCTCCCAGGGCCTCCGCCACCTGGCTTTGCTCTGTTGTGTCCCACCTTCTCGGGACTTCACACTATCGAGGATCTCGTCTTCTATTTGTGCCCTCTTTTGGGTGGATCCCTCCCAGTGGTGCCGCGTGTTCATCTCTCACCCATTTACAAAGCAAAGGAGCTCTTGCAACCCACTTCCTCCTTGAGTTGTTTGCCTTTTCTTTCCCTTTCGGAAATTTCTCTAAAAACCTACTCACCTCCATCTTCCTTTCTCCCCCCTCACACATGATTGGCCCACTTCCCTCCACTCTGTCCCTTTTGTCCACAGGAGTGCCACTCCCTGAGGCTGCTGGTGACCTGTCTTTGTACCGAATTAGAGTACAGTGTGTAGTCCTTGTTTTACATGGTTGGTTTGTAGGCTGTGCTCAGCATAGTTGACCAATCATTCCTGGTTTTCCTTTTTGTCTTCTCATCCTTTTTTTTTTTTAATCAATCTTCCTTTCTTACAAGTAAATATTGAACTTAAGACCAGGCTCTCTGTCTCCTTTACACTCTGTCACTTGGCATTGTAATTGAAGGCCATTCCTTAAATTACCTGCAATGCACAAGTGATTCAGAGATGCCTGTCTCCTCCAGTGTGTGGTCTCGTGTGTGCAGCTGCCTGGTTGAGGTCTTTTGATGCCTCAGGGCATCTGCCCAGACCTGACCCGTGGCCCCACACATCTGGTCTTCTCTCCTTCCATTCAGGTCTTGATTGCTCTTCTAGTGTCTCCGTGACATTCAGCAGCAGCTCTTGCCGGCACTACCTCCAGCACATACTCTAAGTCGTCCCCTTGTCCATTTCCACGGCCACTCTCCAAGTTCCAGTTCTCCCTCCCTCTCGCCTGCATGCCTGAGTTTCTTACTTGGTTTCCCTTCCTGCCTTCTGTGTCCTTTGCTGTTTGTTCTCCATGGCACAGCTAGAATTATATACTCAGAATGCAGTTCTGTTCACATATTCCTGAGCTTCATAGTCTCGAACAGCTTCTTACTGCTCTCAGGAGGAAGACCACAGTCCCTAATACAGCTTTCAGGGCTCTGTGTGGTCTGCCCCCTCTTCCACATGAGTCATATCCCGATGTCTGTGTCACCCTGGCTTTTAGTTCCTTGAGTGTGTGCTCCTCGCCACAGGGCCTTTGCATAAACTGTTTCCTCTGCTTAGAATGTGCTTCCCTCCTTCAGCTCATTGACTTCTCTGATTTTTGCTAATGAGTCAATCTTTACTTCTTCAGCTAATCCTTGCATGATCTCCTGAGTAGATAGATCACCCAGCTATAGCACAAATTATACTGTTTAAAGACAAGTTTACCCTATCAAACTTGAAACACTCTAAAAGGCTAGAGCCTGTTTTTGAGTATAGTTGTATTTTCTTTTTTTTTCCTTTTTTTTTTTTTTTGGTACCAGGGATTGAACTTGGGCCCTTGCGCTTGCGCAGCAGGCGGTGAAACCACTGAGCTAAATCCCCGGCCCAGTATAGTTGTATTTTCCAGCACAGAGAGCAGTGTTAGCATGCAGTAGGTGTTTTAATGGATATCCACCAGGAAAAGCATGTCAGGGGAGAAGCATTATTGTCTGTAAGCCAATCCTGAAGCATTTGGGGAAAAACTGAGACACTGATGGCTGAACTGTGGGTTTTGCAGAAGAGGGGTGAGAGAGGAGGCCAAGAAGGCAGGCTGGGCCAGGTTGGGGGGACCTTATTTGGCCAGTGTTTGTACCTAGACTAGGATGTGGACAGCCAGGAAGCTCTCCCTGCAGGAGGAAGGAGGAGGAAGGATGGGGGAGTCTGGGCCTTGAAAGGGCAGTGGGGCTTTCTCACTTCTGGTCCCTTGCATATAAGAGGTAATGACTTTTGATCTTTCTCTTTTTGTCAGCTACATCTGGGACCTTGGCTACCATTATGGGAATGAGATTCTACCGCTCTGGAAAATTCATGCCTGCAGGTTTAATTGCAGGTGCCAGGTACTTTGGATTCTGTTGCTCTTATTTACCAGGATAAGAGTTCGGTTTCTTTCCCAAGATACCCAATACAGTAAAAAACGTACAGTACTTGTTTCACTATACCTGATCCTAGACATCAACTCAGATTATTTAGTTTATACACAAGTTGGAAAGGCCACAAAAACAGGAGCTGAGAGCCGGGGATTTAGCTCAGTGGTTCCCACCGCCTGACTTGCAAGCGCAAGGTCCTGAGTTCAATCCCCGGTACAAAAAACCCCCCAAAAAACAAAAAAACAGGAGTTGATTTATTGTCAGAATGGCTTGAATATTCACTGGGGAAATGGTTTTGTCCTCCGATTTGCTCTCTGGTGGGTCCTGCCTCCTTCCCAGCCCCCTTCCCACAGTGGATGGAGCCTCAGGGCAAAGCTGTGACCATATTTCTTAGCTCTATGGAACTTTATTACTGAAAATTTGCTAGAAGACAATTTTGATTGAATCTTGTTTTCTAATCACCTTTGATGATAAAACTCAAAGCTAATTATTTCAAATTTAGTCATCCTGGGGTATAATTCAGGACATCCCAAAGGTAGGGAAATTTTAAAAAATCTGTTTCAGGAAAAAGTTATATACCCATCTTTGGTCATAGTTACATTGTTGATCATAATCCTTTATACCAAGATCAAGAGCAGTGAACTGGGCCAGGTGTGGTGGTGCCTGCCTGTAATCCCATCTACTCAGAAAGCTGATGCAGGAAGATTACAAGTTCAAGCCCAGCCTGAGAAATTTAGTGAGACTTTGTCTCAAAAAAAATTGGCAGGAGCCGGGGATTTAGCTCAGTGGTTCTGCCACCTGCCTCACAAGCACAAGGTCCCGAGTTCGATTCCCAGTACCAAAAAAAAATGGCGGGGTTTGTAGCTGTGTGAAGGCCCTGAGTTCAATCCTGAGTACCATAAAAAACAAATCAGATGAAAAATAAAAAGACGTGGGGTTCGCTTTGTGTGAGTGTCTGGGTTCAATCCACAGTACCACGAAATTTAAAATTTGAAAAATAAAAAGTAAATTGGAAGGCTAGAGATCTCCTTTTAATTAACTCTGTGACCTGGAAGCCTCAGCTTCTCTCGCCTTCAGCTTCCTCTTCTCTTCAAGTCATTGGCAGCCGGGTTAGGGACACCCACGTGCCCCCGAGACGCCCGTACAGGGTCCCCCGGCCTGTCTTTTCTGTGGTGCTGCCAGGGGACATGTGTGCTTCCGAGCGCTCTGCCCCAGTGCCTCCCTGCCATGCAGTTGTGAGGGGCCTGCGGACCCCTAATCGCTTCAGAAGGTCACCGGCCGTGTCCTTTTCCTGATGTCTCCTGTTTGTGTTTCCTTTGAACAGTTTGCTGATGGTTGCTAAAATTGGAATTAATGTGTTGAATAGACCACGTGCACAGTAGTCACATCCCGGCTGGAACTCATGAAGAATTAAAAATCTCCAGACTTCCACTTTTTAAATGTATTAAAGAAATGCAACATATTTACATACTTCAGCGTTTTACTTAAAACAAAAAACTCTGAAGTTGATGGGTAAAAACATTGGTCTTTGCCATCACAACCCTTCAGAGGTGGTGAATGTGTAAGAAAAGAGCTTAGTGATGCCCACATGGTCGGTTCTTCTCTAGTGATGTTATCTCTTCTTTCTGGATCAGTAGTTAAAACCACAAGAGGTAAAAAGTTAGGAGTCAACATTGGGGTCCCCAGGGCTTCATGCCTTGCTCAGAACAGTGTGAAAAAATTCTCTTGGCGAGACTTGGGATGTGTGTTCTTTTGCTCATCTTAGAGCACAGACCTACTTTGGAATTATGTTAAATGGTATAATGAAAATAAAGTTTACTACAAAAAACATTTTCTTTGGTGTCTTCTTTGCCAGACCTGCCTGGAACATAGAATGAGATGTGGATAGCCGGACAAATTAGTAATGTGGAAGTATTTTGTTAATGTTATATTTAGGAGTTACTTATTTTGAATAAGAACAAAGAAAGATTATTATTTTATTAGATGTTTCCTGGTAGCTTGTTTTAAAAATGCTCTGTGAGGGTTCATTTTTCTTTTCTTTTTCTTTTTTTTCTTTTTTTCTTTTTTTTGGTACCGGGGATCGAACTTGGGACCTTGTGCTTGCGAGGCAGGCGGTGGAACTACTGAGCTAAATCCTCGGCCCTCATTTTTCAAGATAAGGACTGTGTGGCAAAACAAAACAAACACAAAAAAGTGTTTTTTGTGTTTGTTTTTGTTTTTGTTTTTTTGGCTTTACTAGTTCATCTCCAAATGTGGAACCAAGCTCAGTATGGTGGTGCATGCCAGGATCCCAGCCTCAGCAACTTAGGGACTTAGTGAGACCCTGTCTCAAAATATAAATAAGTTAAAAAGACGGTATGTAGCTCAGTACGAAAGCCCTGGGTTCAGTCCATAGTACTGAAAAAAAATCTTTTAAACCCAGGGTTTGAATCACTTTGGCCTCTACACTGGTCACATTGGCTGGATACTGGCAGGTTTTACTTCACTTTATTAGCTTCTTGTCAGTAAGGCACAATACCCAACACTTAAAGGAGAGGTTTCATTTGCTCAGGGTTTCAGTTTATGATCAACTGGCTCAAGGGCAGAGAGATCATGGCAGAAGAGCATGGCACAGTGGATCTCCATAGTTCATGGTGGCCCAGAAGCAGTGCAGGGAAAGAAGGTGAGAGCAGAAGGGGCAAAGAACCAAATACAGACCCTAAGGCCATGCCTTGGTGACCCAGCCAAGTGCACTGGAAGTGTGCCCACCAGTTCCTGGGATAAATCCCAAATTGAAATCAAATGGAAACTCCACTCTAACTCTCATACCTACATTTTCCCCTCAAAAAAGAATTTTTTTCCCTCTGATCACAGGAGGATGTATTTGCTATGAGATGGTTTTTATACAAAGACTCTACAGTTTGTTGGATATAAGGCATTTGCAGTGGTGCGGTTTTGGATATGCAGCATTGTTTTTTTGTTTTGTTTGGGGGTTTTGGTACCGGGGATTGAACTTGGGACCTTGCACTTGCGAGACAGGTGGTGGCACCACTGAGCTAAATCCCCAGCCTATGCAGCATTGTTTTTGGTGACAGTAGAATACCCCACTCAGTGATCAGTTGTGCTTAGTTGAGTAGTAAATTTAGCAAAAAAATTGCAGAAAACAGTGCTATGCTTGATCCTTTCAATCCTTACTCCTCCAAAAGTCTCACTGGTTTTTCCTTGTGATTCCTTTTTTGAGTTGTTCAGAATCAGAATTTTTTACATAGTAAAACACAAATTCCTCATTTCAGTTGTTTTTGTTCTTGATTTATGGATACTCTTTGCATATGGGAGATACTAATCCTTTGATCTGTATTAAATTTTCTCCCAGGCTATTCTTGTCTTTGAACTTGGGTTATAGTGTTAGATTCATACATAGTCATGTGGTAGCTTGCATTTATAAAGCTCATTCTCTAAATTAGGAAAAATATTCATTTAATAAGGTTAAAATTGAGACACAGTGTACTTGTGATAAAGGTATATATGCAGGACAGAATGGTATACAATAACACTAAATCTTCCTACCCAAGACAGTCTCAATTTCAGAGGCAACTATTGTCAGCTTTTCCTTCAGTAGGACACAAGACCCAAAAGAGCAGGGGGACAGCACCAAAGAGGGAAGTGTGAGGGACAGTATATAGTACCCAAGGCACCACCTCCATGACCCACCCACATACATCCAGGAGGGCTTTACTAATCTGCTAGGCATTTCTCAATCCAATGAAGTTGCCATATCAGGACTAATGGTCACAGTCCACCGCTTGTCAACTTCAGACCCAAACACATCTCCTTAAATCATACTTAATCTCCAAATAAACACAATAACAAGTTCCTAATTCCACCTAACAGTACAACAATCCCGCATACAGATATGCCATAATCCTTTCCCTAGAGTCTGAACAATACCAGTATTTTTTAGAAATGTAAGTCCAAATCTCACCTGAGACTCAGCAAGCACACTTGTTTTTTTTTTTTGGTACTGGGGATTGAACTTGCAAGGCAGGTGGCAGCACCACTGAGCTAAATCCCCAGCCCTCAAGGCAAACTCTTAGCTGTGAAATCTTGTAAAGTTACATAATCCTAAGGTATAAGGGCACAGGGTAAACATTTGCATCACAAAGAGGAGGAATAGGGGTAGAAAAAGCTCAGAAGCGAGGTTGAAACCTAGAAGGGAAAACATTTAAGTCCTGTAGCTCCATATGTGGCATCTGGGGGACACAGTAGCCCCACCCCTATACCCTTGCTGGTGAAGACTACAGAGCCTCTCTTGGATTGGCTCCATTCATGGCCTGTGGCTTTTCTCAGCAGACCTTGCTTGCTCCTGGCCTCTGACTTCTTGGGTTCTCTGCACTGCATCTTTGGCTTTATTCTCACATGCACTGCCCTTTCAAGGGCTCCTTACCTGGCCTCTCCCAGGCCTTCCTTTAAAATGTGGGTGGAAGCCTCTTTGGCTCTACAACTTTTGCATTCTGCATATCAGTAAAACCAGCACAATGGGGACAACATCATTAGCATAAGTAGTAGCTGGGCCTCCTTGGACAACAGCTGCAGCAACCTTTGCCTGGCTGAGCACAGTAAAATGAACCAGGGAACCAGTTTTCTAGAAGGCCCTTCTCAAGTAAGCATTCCAGTGCTGTAAAGGAACAGTTTACACTTTTGCACCCTTGAGCCTGCAATGGGTGGAGTCTTGCTGATTCCTAAAATGCCCTGAAGGCATCTTCTGGTCCTTCCACAATATACTTGGCTTCTTTTTAGTGGTGCTAATCTTTTTAGCAGTCACCCTTCCTGTCTGTTTTTTTGTTTTGTTGTTTGGTACCAGGGGTTGAACTTAGGACCTTGCACTTGCAAGGCAGGCAGTGGCACCGCTGAGCTAAATCCCTGGCTCAGCAGTCACACTTTTTTTGGTCAACTTTATACATGGTTCCTTGTGGGTCAAACTTTAAGTTTTTCAAACTTTTCTGCTCTGCCTTTTGCCTCTGATTCTCATAAATCTTGTTAAAAGCAGCCAGAAGTACCAATATCACAGTCTGAATGTAGGGCTATCTTGAAATTTCCTCTGCCACATTAATTAGTCCACTGCCCTTAGTCTCTTGAAAAGTTTTAGGACACAGGCAAGATGTAGACAGATTTTCTACCAGAGTATAACACATATGCCCTCTAGTCCAAATGCCAGTGGAGTTCTTGTTCTCAACTGAACCCTGAGCCTGGCTTTTGCTGTCTGCTTTCCTATCATTCTGGTCTTCTGATCAGGTTCTGCTTACTGTATTCTAAGGCTTCTCTAGCCTGCATCTCCAAACCTTTCCAAATTCCTCTAGCAAACAAGTTCCAAAGGATTGTAAACCCATATGGTCAGGTATAGTCACAGCAATGATCTCACTCCTGGTACCAATTTTCTGTATTAGTTGGCTTTTTCATTACTGGCACACAATACCTAACACCTACAACTGACAGGAAGAAAAGTTTAATTCAGCTCATGATTTTACAAGATTTGGTACATGGTTGGCAGGCTCCAAGTCAGAAACCTCATGGAAGAAGGGTGTGGTAGAGCAAAGTTGCTTGGTTCATGGTGACCAGGAAAGCAGAACAGCACCAGAGAGGAACAGGCAAGGGACCATACAGAGCACCCAAGTTCATGTCTCTGTGACTGGCCTAAACACACCTTGGAAACTACTTTATAAATCTGCAGGTGTTTCTTTGTTCAATGAAGTCGACATATCACAATCAATGACAAAATTATAACATTAAAAATTTTCTGTATATATATATATATATATATATATATCTCCTATAAATGGTATCTTTTTTTGGTTCTTGTGAACATAGATGTATACTGTTAACACACAGTAAGAAATCATTCTGTTCCTAGCCACAATCCTGTCATCTGTATCTGATAGTCTGTCTCATATTGGCTCATTCTGTTGCATATACTTTCAGTGGAATTTTTAATCTCCTGGATATCTGTTTGAATATTTCATGGATTTCATTTCTTTCCTATGCTGGGCATTCATGGTTTCCATTTTTTTCCTGAGCTCCTCTATTTTTAAATATCTATATCTGCTCTTGAGTCTCTAAGCATGCATGTCTTTCATTATGGTCATCATCTCTAGTTATCTGAGAAATTATTTCTGCTTTGATTTTTCCTAGAGCCTCATTCATCTTCTTTGTTACTTCCGCTGTTACCATTTCAGAGTGTCCAGGTGGGTGGCTTTCAGTTTGTTCTACCTCATTGCTCCCTGGGTTTGCCTTTGGTGAGCTGAAAGTCTGGGGAGGTTGCATCTTGTTTAAGTGTCTTCACATTTTCTTTTTCTTTTCGTTTTTTTTAGTTTAATTATTGGGCTGGAGCTTGTAAATTGCTTACGGCAAGTAGTAGCTTTATTGCCAGTATTCAGAACCCTTTGGAAATGGCTACGTCTCAGAGGTGTCTTCTAGGTGTACGTGGCTTTTGGGTTTTGAATCTGTTGCAAGATCCTACCTCTTCAATTTTTTGTGGATGAGATGTTTCTGCCTACATGACCCAGCCCCTGGTTCTTCGGCACTGGCCTATAGTCTGTTTTAAGACCCTTAGGCAGTCTCAGTCTTGGTATACCAGGAAGAACAACTGATTAGCACAATTATGTCCCCTTGGCTAAAATAGTACAATCAGAAATAACAATAGCATCAAACAGAGCCTAGAAAATGACGAACTGTGATAACTATTAATTTGCCACCTTTAACTGTATGAACTAGATTTGTGTTTCTATAACAAAATCTAAAATGAACCGGAAAATTATATGCAATAAATAAGCCCTCAATATGGCGATTTTACTCCT